AAATATTCATGAGCCAATACCGTACCATAGTAGGATTTCTAAATTCGCTAAGGTTTATTTTCGTGAATGTAGCTTAGAGTGGAGACTAAACTTGAGGCAAGAACGTGTATAATCATCTCAGTAGGAAACATGGTTGTTATTACCTCAGGCTGGCGTCAGCTGTGTTTGAAAGCACATCTTTGGTGCTTTGTCATGGAAATGAAGGTGCTTGGAGATCTGATCAGGGTGTTCACAGTTTCACAGCTCGTGGGCCGGATTTTCCTCATTCCTCTCTCAGCAGTGTAGTCCTCTTCTGTTATTGCCTGACAAGAGAAACAAAACACGGTAGGTTGGGTGATAGTGTAAATGTACTTTTCCAATGTGTTTGTAAGGTCTTGTTTTTATATCCCTTGGGGACTTAAACCTGAATCCACACAGAGTCATGGGGACTTGTATCACTGTGTGGTCACCATAGTAAGCAAGCTAATAAATCATCCAGAATGAAGTATTTTGTCGTGATGTGTGTGTGAGGTGTTGTTTTTATATCTTTTGTGGACGCAACCCTATATCCAAACAGACTCATGGGGACTTGTCACTGTAGAGCCACTATGGTAAACAAGCTAATAAATCATTCAAAATAAAGTATTTGAAAATGTAAAACTGCAGAATGTTTACTGTGTGTGTGTGTGTGTGTGAGAGAGAGAGGTCTTGTTTTTAAATATATTGTGGACTCAACCCTGTATCCACACAGATTCATGGGTAATTGTCACTATAGAGTCACCATCGTAAAAAAAGCTAATAAATTATCCAGAATGAAGTATTTTGAAAAGGTAAAACTGCTGAATGTTCAAGGGTAGTGTTTGGGTATTATGCTGTATGTACAGTTGTGGATTTAACCAATAAGCTAGGTAAACAGCTGCTTATGGCCCGCTGAAATCTGGGGGGCCCCAATAAATAGCTAGAAGTGTAAAATACACCTATAAATTATATATAACATTGTTATCTGTCATTTTGTAACTAAGGATGCGACGATTAACCAGTTTCACTATTAACCGTGATTTAATTTGTCACAGTTAATTAATCGTAAAGGCTTCTCAACACCGCGTTTCTGCACGGAACAAATCAGCAGCAACTAAACAAAGTTATGCCAACTGTGCACTAGTTTGTACACCAAGACTAATAACCACGCACACTGGACTAACTATGACTAAGACTATTACCTAAGGCAACCTCATGCAAGTTTGTTGTTTCCATTGGAAGGACACACACGCGATGCAACACGCTCATGATTTTCAGGCGCACCTAGTTGAGATGACAAGGGGCTTTTTTGAACGCGGGAATTGCAAGGGGCTAAAGTTTGAGGAAGACGCAATGGAAAGTACACAGATTTGCAAACCCACCTAAAGTTATAAATAATGGCATTAATGAGAGCGATCATGTGGTGAATGCCAGCCGAGATCAACTGTGTTTTCGGAGAGAGTGCTGAAAGACTCAAGCCTGTTTCACACTGCTAGTGTGAGCAGAGTGTATTTTTTTTGGAGTCCATGTTAACAGATTAGAGGTTTCATACTGCACGCAGAAGTAGTGCGTCAGCACAAGGCTCGAGCGTCATTGAAGCAGTCATGGCGGGATTAGTTTCGCCACTGGGTCTATTTTTGCATTGGTAATGACCAAAAACACATTGAATGAGCAATTTTACCCAATAAATGCATCAATAACATCCACTGATTTTTATATATTCATTTAAATGAACTCAAACAATTAGAACGGCAACAAATATTTAGCTGGGCCTGAACTACAAAATTAAATTTAAAACAGTGTTTAACTAGTGGGGTTTTGAGATCAATTAATGCAAATAATCGAGATAACTGTGATTATTTCTTAGACTATAATCGTATAACCAAAATGTAAACATTGCATCCCTATTTGTAACATGAGAGTCAAACACATTTTTACCTACTTGGTCAAATCAGTTTCCGAACAATGCAAAAGAAGCTACAAGTAGGCGTGGCCAACCATTGTCATTTTGTTTGCGCATCATTGCATGGACCGGTGGATACCAAACAAGGGCAAAGAGGCGGAGCTACAGACGCCTGCTAACAATTGTTAAGACAGGCTTTTCTTTGGGAGAAACGCTTAATAGTTTGTTACCTGCGACTCGTTTGTGTTCTGACCACATGGGCTTGGTTGTATACTATATCAATAAAATGTTTAGACTTGTATTAACACTGTTGTAATACATTGAGCCACTAAGCATTGTTCTTATGACGTTTTTTTACAGGAGGAAAATGCTAATTACTTCCAAATAATTAAAATATAGTCTGTGTTAGTAAATGCAAGACTATTAATGAAATCCAGGCGTAACACTGTAAGACAATGTTTCAGATGACTGTTCAATAGCGTACAGCTAATCAATCTTTCTGTTGTGCATTACAGGTCTATAAATAATAAACTATCTTAAAACAAATACATTTATAAAGATGGTATACAAGCATATAATTTCACTCACCTGGGAAATGGAGGCAACTTGAATAGTTTGTGAGCACAATTAAGTGCGCACAGCATGCCATATCATCAGATTATTGTAAGAAATAATTCCAAAAAGCAACTGACTGAGTAAAACCACATAAAACAAATCAAAAATACAATGGATATGGAGAGTTCAGCGGCTAATCGGCTCAGGTGAAGTGACTCTGACCACAAGACCTAGCTGTCACTCAAGTGGCCACGCCCTTAATTATGCAGACGTAACCTCTTAAGGCCCAAGCTGTTTTTTACATGCACTTTTTAAATTTTCTTTGCTATTTAGGCTTATTGAAACCTAATTAGAATAAAACCTAAGTGTCATCTTTTGAAATGATGTACTTTTAGAGAAAAGTGATGTCTATATATGTGGACTCGTCCGAATTTACATAATAAAGTATTTTTGTGTAATAGAATGAAAAACTCTTTATTTCCGTCCTGAACACAGCCATTTTTTACCTGACTGTTTTTAATGCATTAATAACACATACACACACATTTTTTAACATGTTTTGACTATCAGTAAAAAGACTTTTTGGACAGTTAAAATGGTGTTTGGGACATTTCATATGCCTCAAAACAATTGCAGAATGACACTGTATGTCTGTAACAAAATAAATAAACATAAGACATAAGAGCTTAAATGTGCTGCCCACATATGTGGACACTAAGTCTTTGGAGGTTAATATAAACGAAACGAATGAGTTATAATAAAAAATCACCCCCTTACAGTTGTCATGAAGGGTAATATTAGCTTTTATGAACCAAAATCATTCTTTGTACCAGGCTGTAAACACCTTTTTTCCTGCTGTAAACTTGCCTATTTTAAAAGTGGGCTCTAAATTTGCTCTATTATGGAGCCAGGACTAGCGGAATTTCAATGAATTCAGTTACTTCTGTATTTATTTTCAGAGGGAGAGCGGGATGTTGCCACTTGGGTTCCATCCACACAATTCATTCATGTTGTACCAACACAAATCGATTAAGTTAACTTAACAAATTAAGTGGATTGAACCGAAAACAGTTAGGTTGTCCCACAAAGTATCTCAAGAATTATTGTTTCGGCTTATTTTAAATAAGTAGTTTGAGCAAACAGCAAAAATCTTTCTTTTTTTGAGTGTATGGGAAGTCCCCACAAGAATAGCAAATGTGCTGGACTGTTCATTTTAGTTTCAATTTCTCAGTCCATTTCTGTTTTCTTGAAAAAGTGGTTTACCCAAAAAACATTATTAAACACAATATTTCCCTAAATTCTCTAAAGAGCAAGTACATTTTCAGTTTTTCTGTAATATTTTTTTCTTCCGGAAAAAAGTCTTGTATTTGTAGTTTGATTGAAATACAAGAAGTTTACAATTTTGTTCAACTGTTTTTTATTGATGCATATCAGTCAGAGTTACAGTATCAAATAAGGAATCAATAAGACAATGATATGAATAATCAATTGTTCCAATCTTTGATCAGAAAACAAATTAGTCATCTGACAGTGGAACGTCTTGAGTGATTGACAGCTAATATGAACAAATAAATAGCGGCAGGGAAGACAGAAAAAAAAACAAAACGGGTTGCACTACACCCTTTACATGCAGTCGCACAAATGCTCCCAAATATATTTTGAGGTCGCAATTTCAAGTCCTGCAGACATACATTTGTGCATACTGGAAGAGAAATAGTTGTGCTAAACTGAGCCAGGTTTCTCTCAGGTTTTATTTTATTTTATTTTTTCCTTCACTTTTGTCAATTGGTGAAGTTTTCTTCCTCGCACTGTCGCCACTGGCTTGTTTGGTTTGGGACTTTTGGAGCTGGATCGATGGATTTGTTCTTCAGTGTTTAAACTTTCAGCAGGGAAAATTAAACCACACTGAACTAAACTGAACTCTGAACTTCAACTCTGAAAACTGGACTGACACAGTTTCAGTTCACTAGAATGGAATTAAAATATTAGTATATCAGTATATTAGTATATTGAATATATATATATATATATATATATATATATTTTTTTTTTTTTTAATAAATAAATAAATAAATATATATATATATATATATATATATATATATATATATATATATATATATATATATATATATATATATATATATTGATATAGCTTGTGCTTATTAATCCTAAATAATAAGTCATTCAGAAATGTTCCTTGCCCTGTCTCGGCGTTGTGTTGTTCACAAAAGAAGTAAATGTCCCAACGGTAAATGAATTGTTCTTTTCAGACAAATAATGTATTTGAATTTGTTAATCCAATTTACAAATGAGCGGACTGAATGACTTATTGATGCACCGGATGACATATTTTGTTTTTGAGTTGAACTGTCAGTCTCCATTCTTTGAAATTGCTTGACAAAAACAACCAGTGCACAGTATTTCTTTGTCTGTGTTAAGAAGAAAATATGATGTTATACTGGTTTAGACTAACACCTACTTCTATAACGACTAAATCTTCTGTTTTCAGTTTAGCTTGGTGTTTTGGCAGCAGAAGTCCCTGAAGAGTGTTTCCATGAACACTCTGACAAACACCCACACACAATTGCTTTGATATTCTTTATATGAAGATGCAGTCACACTGATTAATTTTAGCTTTTTGTCACGTTATAAATATGAGGTTGTGAACTGATATTTCTAGTCTGAAACAAGTACAGACATCTGGGAGAATCTCCCCTGAGGCAGAGCACAGATCCTTATGAAAAACAGCTGAAGCCAGATGTTTCCATACAGTTTAGTTTAATTTAGTTTATATTTTGTCCGCAGTGGAGAAACTTGTCTTGGATCTTAGACCTGCATTTGCATACACTAAACAAAAAATACAACAACAAATCAACACAAAAATGACATTCAAAGAAGAAAATTGCATACTTAAAAGTCGAATGAGTCTAAAATAAATGATGTGGGGCATCAGATGTTATTTTAGTAGCTTCAATAAGAACTGATTATTGCTAAAGATTGTAAAAATTGATATGACTCCCATGGCTGTCTTTACCAAACGTTCAAGCTTGGCTTTAGAATAAACTGTAATGCTTCCAAAAGCATACTGGTAAAACAAAGTCTATTATAATTTCAGTTACAACTGCATAAAATAAGATTAAATAAAATTTGCTGAACTGACAAAACTCTCAATCTCCATTTAAAAAATGCAACCACTGCTCCACACGAGAACAAATACTGCCTGCATGTCATTTGACTTGGTGGCTCAGTGGTTTTCACTGTCGTCTTATAGCAAGAAGGTTGCTGGTTCCAGTCCCGGCTGAACCAGTTGGCGTTTCTGTGTGGAGTTTGCATGTTCTCCTGGTGTTGGCATGGGTTTCCTCCGGGTGCTCCCGTTTCCCCCACAGTCCAAACACATGTGGTATAGGTGAATTGGATGAACTAAAATTGCCCTTAGTGTTTGAGTGTGTGTGAATCCATGAGTGTGTGGGTGGTTCCCAGTACTGGGTTGTGGCTGGAAGGGCATTCACTGTGTAAAGCATATGCTGGAATAGGTGGCGGGTTATTCTGCAATGGTGACCACGGATAAATAAGAGCAGAAGGAAAATGAATGAACGAAAATGTTAATATGAACTTTTTTTTTTTTTTTTTCTGTCCAGTGCTAGAAGATGATGAGCAGCTGAAGGATCTGTGAACTCTCTGACGGGTCTGTAATCTTCTGCCGCGATGAGCTGGGCTGGAGATGACTGGACTGTGGGTCTGACGGGTCACGTCCTGCAGAAGGTTAAACAGCTCCTGGCTCAGAACGAGAAGCTGAACAAAGAGAAACAGCAGAGGCAGCTGCAGCTGGATAACTCTGAGGTCGCTCTGCACAAACAGAAGCAGAAGGTCAGTTTAGGATAAAGATGATGATGATGATAATGAATTGTGCACCCACATATCCGCACTTTTTTTTCAGTTTTGTTTTTTCATTCTGTTTATATAATGATTTAGATAAATTTGTGGAAATGTATATTTCTTCAGTTTTATATATTCATTTTGGTAATGTTTTTAGATAATCTGCAAATGTTCAGGTGATTTATGTGCAATACGTTTTGTAATATTTCTTGTCTTCTAGTTGATGATTCATATGAGAATTACTGTAGCTTTGTTTACTGAACAGGTGGTTCTAATTAGATTTGCGTTGTATACCTTAAAAGGTTTTTAAATTTATTATAAGTTAAGTTTTTAGTTGCTGTAGTCTGAAAATCAGACAAGCAGAAATAGTCTGCAGATTCTGTCTGCCCCTGGATATGACCCTGTAATAAATATACAGATATGGAAGCAAAATGCAAAAAGGGGGAATTAAAACAATATCAGAATGTTTTTTTTTCTGAGCTAAAATAATTTAATAATTTAAGCAAAAATGTATTTAATTATTTTAATGTAATTTATGCTAAAAGGACACATATGTCAAGACAATGATTAATGGAAACCCCCCACTAAAAAGGCATTCAGTTTATTTATATGTAATTTGAGACTAATTTATGTGTCAAAAGAAATATTTTCAGACATATTTATAACAACAATAAATGTATGATATTTTAAAAGGCATTAGTATTGCAATTAAAGAAGTTTAAAATAATAAATATTAAATATATGCAATATTTGTAACAATAAATATTCATTTTTTTATTGTTACAAACAAGGTCTGAAAAAGAGGTTAGAATCTGTTATGCTAAATGACTGACTAGGAACATTATTTTCCTGAATTGTTTTTTTTTTTTTTTTTGACTTTAGTTTCGGTTGTTTAGAGCATTGAAGTTACTTAGGTTTTGTTCACACTGCAAGGTTTTAGTGCTCAAATCTGATTTTTTCTCAGATCTGCACTCGGCAGCGTTTATTTGAGAGCGCACAAGAAGATCTGCACGCTCTTGAAGCGGCTTACATTTAAGGGGGCGTGCAGGAAGTTTTGTGGATGAGCAGAGGAAATCGGCATAAATACATGCATAAATGCGATCTCGACTTCTAATACTGCGCTCACGACTGCATTTGTCATTGAAATAACGCCACAGGTAGATGGCAGATCTGTGTAAAAAAAAGGCCTGCCGCCACAGCTGGAAAATCCTAGAGGAAACACTGGACCCGCATGCGCAAATGTACATTACGAAGAGCACAAAATGTCTAATTATGCACACAATGTATATACTGCACGAGTAAGCACGTTGTCAATTCATGCTTGCATGATTATTACCCTTTTCAGACAACCGTAGTTTATTTCATGAACTGTAAAGGGTTGTTCTGCTACTACTAATGTGTATTTCTGCATTTGAGACCTACATCAAGTCTCTTGTGATTGAAAACACTGATCATTTGTGATTTATGACAACTGGGGTGCGTGGCGCTCTGACCACCGGTGTAGTAAACTTAAAATAAAGGGTTAATGAGCAGCCGCAGACTGAACTGTGAAGGCAGAGTTGGTTTATCTCTGTTTGCAGAGTTATTTAGTTTTACTTCGTTATAAACAACAGACATGTGCAGAAGAGGGGTTTGATTAAAAAGACACATAGAGAAGTCGTGTAGTAGACCGTTTTATCAGCAAAGGTTTGATCAGCCTTAGAAGTGTGCAAAACAAATATGACCAATTAGACTTTCAATGGTTAACAAAGGCACTTAAGCAATGCAGAAATAACTGCTTGGAAGGACACCAAATGGAAAGTTGGCTGCGAGTTTGAGCACAGCTGTAGCACAAACAGTGCGGGATGTTATGTACGTCTTCCTGTCTGTCAGCATGAGGAGGTGCGTGTGGAGCTGGCCGCAGTTCAGAGGGAGCTGGGAGGAGTACGAGAGGCGGCACAGGCCGAAGTGCGGACCAGAGAACGTCTGTCTCATGACCTGCAGGTCAAAACGGGTCAAGTGCACTCGCTGGAGGGACAGCTGGAGTCTGCCAAAAAGCTGACACAAAGCCTCACGCAGGAGATCAAACGGTGAGACGCGCTCCTGCAAACATTCCTGTCTGTTTACATACCAAACTAAACCAGATCATCAACATTAATTAGCAAATCATGTCATTTCAGTTCTCACTCTGTTCTGCCTGTACTTTTTATTATTGCATAATTACTATATTTTATTTTTTACTCTGTACTGACAGGATTTTATCAATGTATACTACTGTATAGGTTATTTACAACTCAATGTCATTGTCAACTCAACTCCATGTCATTAAAGGTGCAGTTGGTGTTTGTCTTCAGAAACATTTTTTGTTGTGCTGGTTGAAAGTCTCTTCACAATCCAATAGTAATGATTAAAGTAAATGATCTAAATGTGTTTATATGGGTTTTTATATTCTGAGCCACTGAAATCTTCCGGTAAAAGATTGATTTGACTATTATCAGTTTCATTATGGTCCTTTTACAGCATTAATAATGTATATTTTTATTTAGTTTAACAACTCAACATGAGTAAATAGCGCTGTTCTGCCTAGCCTGCTTTTCTGAGGTCAAGTTGGTTGTATATTCACATTGGTTCATTTCTGAACAATGACGCGCTCCCCACATTGTTTATCATGCTACTCTGAATAATCCGCCTGAAATAACATGCAAGTATGGCTTTGTAATAAATGTAATTCCTGCACCCTGCTGGCCAACCACTAAGCAGTGTCGCTTTAGGACGTGAGAGAATGAAACCAGCAATCCACATGCATAATATATTTAACATTATGACAAGTTTTTCTTGAAACGAGCTACATATGATACAGTTTTTCATTCAAAATTGTACTATTATAAAGTACTGTAAAGTTTTCTAACAGGCAATTGATGTGATCTAGTGGGTTGTGGACGGTCATCTTTAAAGGGTCTTGAAACCCCCCACTTTCGGTTCAGGTCTACCTCAGAATTTTTTCAAAAGATGCATCATAATGGGCGTGGAGCTCCGCGAACAAAGGGCAGGAGTGGGCGTGGCCAGCAGAACAGGAGAGAAGGAGGGGAGCGAACAACAAAATGAGACACAAATCGTGAGGACACGCATGATTTTATAGTTTACAAAGTTAAAATGCAAATAAATAAATAGTAATTTAATTCCCCGTTACATTTGTTATTTGTAATTTCTTACTCAAAACCACAATTTATACAATTGTAAAGATAATCGTGTTCATATAAACACTATAAATCAGGACTTTTCCCTCAATCCCTGGGTCTGAATGCAAACTCAGTGCAGCAGGTCTCTTGCCCTGTCTATTTTAACCATTAGCCCTGCTGGTAATCTAGAGGATTTAGGCAAACACAGCAGCACGGCGATGTGTGTAAATGTGAACGAACTCCTGATAAAAGACAACGTCCGCCATTCTCCAATTCTCGTACTGCTCTCCAGACAAAAATGCTTACAGCACACAAACAGCTTTGCTGTATCGGCCCTGACAGCATCGCGGGGAAAAGCATGCAACAAACTCTGTGGATCATCAAAAAAAACACATAGGAGCCTTCATGAACGGCTAAATACTGTGTGCCGTGGGTCCGTGGACACGGTTTCACCCAGTCATCAAGGTAGGATCTGACTGCTTGGCACTGACAGGTCTGACTGTCCTTGAGAAAGCAGGTGCAGTCATGAATAATTAAGAAGCCGGCTCTTCTCATAGGATAAGAAAACTCCGCTATGAATAATAATGAGAAACCGATGCGTCATTTTTGCACTTGGAGTTTTGCGCTACATCACTGATTTTGATCCTGCCCCAAAAAAATCGTTTTAAACCCAGAAGCTGAAATTAGCTGACAAAAGCTCAAAATTATCCAGTTTTCCCCACAATTAAAGCTAACAGGTGCTAACATTCTCTTAACTGATGCTCAACACACACAAATCTGTTCAAATCTCAAAAAAAAACACTCAAGGGTTTTGTGAATTTTTAAGGCTCCTACACAACAGGGACGCTTTTTGTTTGCGTTTATCATCAGCGTTTTACGAGACGTTTTTCAGTATTCAAACCAAAGCGCTTTTCCCAGGCGTCAAGCTGAAGAGTATGCAAAATCACTCTTTTGACATTAGGTGGCGCTACACAACTTTAAGCTTTTGACACCCGCTTATAACACAGAAGAATAGGAGGAGAGGAAGTTCACACGTTTGTTGTTAAAGTTACTGGTGACTCGAACAAGCAAGGATAGTTGAAGCAGCAGCTTCAGCTCTAGCGTTGAAGAAATGATTGTTCACCAGTGCAATTAGCAGCTCCACGTTCATATCGCCTCTGGGCATCCTCTTCAATTTGTGCTCGCACTGACAGTTTAGCGCTTGAGTGCCTCCAAGTGCTGTTTACTGTAACTTCAGCAGCTCTGTGCACGTGAGCAAAAGTGCCAATCTGAGTGTGTCAAAACAAAAAAAACGAGCATGAGGCGTTTTTTTTAAAATGACACTTTTGCGCTTGCCGTTTTGCGTGTTGGTGTGCACAATCACATTGACACCCGTGATTTAGTCGCGAGGCATTAAACATCATCAGAAAACGCGAGCAAAAAACGTCTCTGTGTGCACAGGCCTTTAATGTGGGTGTTTGTGATTTCAGGAGGCATGCCTTTGAACAGCAGGGGAGTTACTGTTTCAGAGATATTATGCTAACCTGTTAGCAGTTTGGCAGAGCACCTACTGCACCTTTTAAAAAAACATTAAAGTAATTAAAGTAAATTAAAGTAACATAAAGTAATTAAAGTAAGTGCTAATTAAAGTAGTATACAATCAAACACTCATTTTTTACTTCACTATTGTGCTTAAGTAACTTAGGTATGTATACATTATCTCAGTAATATTATTTCAGAAAATTGATGATAACCACACACTCTGAATTATTTATTAAGCATTAGCAAATAGCAATGAATTCGTTATTTGTTAAGCATTAACTTTGTTAATAAAAGTTATTAAGCAGTTTGTAACTGCAGCTACAAATGCTGTATTCTTGACTAAGCACATGTATAATGTGCCTTATTGTACTTTCATACTTTAATTATTATTTTTCATTACTATATTAAGTATTGAATTATTTACAAACCAGTTACTTAAGCATAGTTGGAGGTTTTTTAAGACTATTCAGAATGAGTTAGTAAATGATTAATTAACTATTCAAATTAACATGTAAATATCTTATTATTCTGGCATATACTACTAGTTAATTTGTATGTTAATAAATGCTTTATTAACTCAACTCAACCAGTTTTGTGATCTAATCTAAAGTGAGGACTATTAATCATTTATAAATGTCTTATAAATGACAATTAAAGGCTCATTTATAGTCTAAATAGGAAAATAATATTAAGGATTCATTTGTTGATTTTTATTCATTTGAAGATACATAAATTAAACTATCAAATAAAAAATTAATTTTGCAACCTTATCTTACAGTTTAAACATTGCATCCAATTGTTCATTTGATACTGAGCCTTTAACTGTCCTTTATAAGGGATTTAAAAAGCATTAATAGTCCTCGCTTTAGATTATTTCACAAAACTGCATGAAGTTGAGTTAATAAAGCATTTACTACATACAAATGAACTATAACTATATGCCTGAATAATAAGATCTATAAACGTTGATTTCAATAGTTTATTAACCATTTACTAACTCAATCTGAATAATCTTAATTGATTTGTAAATAATGCAATACTTAATTTAGTCATGAAAAATCAACCAGTCACAAGGCATGAAAGAAATTTTTTTCTTACTTTTCATTATAAATGTGCTTATAAGTCAAGAATAGAGCATTTGTATTTGCAGTTATAAACTGCTTACTAACGTCTATAAATGGAAAGTTAACGCTTAACAAATAATGAATTCGCTGGTCACTAATGCTTAATAAATGATTTATTGTGTGTAGTTATTATAATGTGTTATCAAAACTTTTTCTTTTGCTTATTACGATTAAAAAATAAAATGTTCTTAAATTCATCAATGAAGCTGAGTAGAGTGATTTTGAAGTGAAGAAATAATCACCCGCTCGGAGACACTATAGTCGTGTTTTAGTCGGGAGTGAGTTAAATTCTGTCAGTTAACTGGTTTACAAATTGGGCTGATCAATTTATTTATAGTTGGACTAAACTGATACATCTCATTCAAATGATCTCAGACTCAGATCACTGATTCAAATGATCCGTTCAGAGTAAGTCTCCAGTTGACAACTCGCTGAATCAAATGATCCTTTTAGAGCGAGTCTCCAGTTAACAACTTACTAATTAAAATTATTTGTTTAGAGCAAGTCTCCAGTTAACAACTCACTGATTCAAATGATTCATTGAGAATGAGAATGAGTCTCCAGTTGACATCTCACTGATTCAAAAGATCTTTTCAGAGCGAGTCTCCAGTTAACAACTTACTAATTAAAATTATTTGTTTAGGGCAAGTCCCCAGTTAACAACTCACTGATTGAAATGATTCATTGAGAATGAGTCTCCAATTAACAACTTGCTGATTTAAATGATCTCTTCAAAGCGAGTCTCCAGTTGACAACTCACTGATTCAAATGATCCGTTCAGAGCAAGTATCCAGTTAACAATTTACTGATTAAATGATCCCTTCAGAGCGAGTTTCAAGTTGACAACTCACTGATTTGATCTGTTCAAAGCAAGTTCCCAGTTGAAAACTCATTGATTCAAATGATCCGTTTACAGCGAGTCTCCAATTGACAACTCACTGATTCAAACGATCTGTTAAGAGCGAGTCTCCAGTCAATAGGTGCGTTCGACTTCATACAGCGCTGCGCAGATCAATCGAAATCTGTTTTAAAGTGGTGTATGCTGTTAAGAAATGTTGCCCAGATTGACGCTGCGCGGGCGCCACTGATTGTCACGTGGCATCAAAGTACTGCGACAGCGCTCTGAGATCAGTTGACTGATTCAGCCGGTGCAGTGTCTGAAGAGCGTCTGCTGGAACTGCGATGACGGTACTGATATTACACGATTGGCCGAGTTCACCGCAAGACAACAACCACGCGTTTCACGTTTATTATTGGACAAATTCCGTCTAAAAAATTTCAAATCAAACAATTAACTTTTCATAGCCCTTCTATATATATATCACGCTTATTAAAAGACTACAAATATTTTACTGCAGTATCATCTTTTGTTAAATAATTTGGTTATTAAGGCTAGATTGTTTGTACAGGTTTATTTTTGACCTTTTTTATAGACTATTTACTGCATTCAGCTCCATGAACGATTTAAATAATATATTTTAGCAAATAACCTAAATATTAACTCATAAGTCTTACAGACTTTAATAAAATAAAATAAATAATAATAAATAAATAAATAAAATAATTATCATCATTAATCCTGCCATCCTAAATGTTTCTTAGCAAATTAAGTTAAATAACTTTTATTAAATAATTATGAAATTTATATGATTATAAAATATAGTTTTTTTTTCCAGCTGTTTATGCTATAAACATATGAATAACATATGAATGTTATTTCAAAAGTGACATTGATGTACCTTGCTGTTTCTGGGAAACTTTTACTTAAAGTGGAGTGACCTTTTGTTCAATCTTTTTGGATTAAAGTGCTTTTTTGAAAATGCTTTCATTATCCAATATAATCGTAATCATTGTTTAAGACTTAATCAAAACACCTTGTTTTGGTAAATGTTATTTATAAAAAATACTAAAATAACATTGCTGTGACACTGATGATGAGGTTTCAAAATGACCCAATACACCACTCTAGGCCTGAGTATTGACATTAGCCTGTAAGCCCCATTGCTGTATTGACCTAACACCATCTCTCTTACTGTGCATGCAGGCTTGAGGCAGAGCTGGAAAAGCTGCAGAAGGGGAACGGCTCTGGGGAATCCACGTTGTTTTCCACACCTTGTTGGAACACGAGCTCTCCCTGGGACAACAACGGTACCATCCGTCACGCTTAGCCCATTTGTTTTTCTCACTTTCTGGCTGTTTGCGATTCTTCAAAGATTTCATATTGTATCCCTTCATAAAGTAGGGTAAAGAGTGTTTTTTTTTCCTCACTGAAGGTCCCTAAAGACTGATTGCATGGTACAGAGTGCGATTGCTTTGTCTATCTCTGATTTCAACTTTGTATCCAGGCTCTTTTTTCCTGGCTTGTATCATGTGTGGGATGCATTCAGAACAATCTATTCATCACTGTTATTCTTTTACAACCTGTTTTTCACTGCAGGTGGTTTCAGAGCGGAGAGCGAAAGCAAAGCACAGCATGCCAGAGTACGTCACGTATGCATAAACACTTTTAAGAGTAGCTTCTTAATAAGAAATGTTTTGTTTGTCCCTCTGCTTCCTGAATCACGTGTTTGTGTTCTGTCTGCTGTAGCAGCAGCTGCAGTTTGGAGACGTCCCCAAGCCCTCAGCAGGCGGGGCCTCCTCCCCGTTTCCACAGCAACCATATAAATCCCCGCCCCTCCGGCGCCACGTCCGCCAATCAGAGCCATCCACCCCCTCCTCTGTGTTTCCATGGGAACGTGATGTCTTGTGGTCCACTCCCAAAGGACGACCGACTTCCTTGGTTTCATCCAGTGAGGTCATGATCAAGAGCAGTAATTGTGGGATGGAGGACGCCCTGAGGAACGAGATCGATGGTGAGCTTAACCACTGGAGTTTCAGGAAAAAAATACAGTTTAATAGGTTATTTAGACATCCCTGAGTAAAATTAAACCATTAACCATCTGTATTAAAATCACAGAATCTTTATATTTGTATATATTGTTTTGATGTTCCTGTTACATTTTTTTTTTCTAGTTTTGTTTTCAAATATATTTTAAACAAATCATATTTTACAAACAAAAACTGACTTTTTTACTTTACCAAAAGCAAACAACGATAAAAAACCCCCTCAACATCAGAGAGATTAAATAAATAACAAAAAAATAAATAAATAAATGTAAAAAAATATATAAATAAAAAATTTAAACTTAAAGCATGCTATTAATAATTGGAAGGTAGATACACAAGGTCCCCAGTTTTATCTTAACACTGAATACTATTTTATTGTGATTGCACTAGGAAATCCAATGTGCCAATGTTGTGTAGATGGAGAGTGAAACGATTTCCAATTAAATTAAATGCTTTTTTTCCCGCCCGTTCCAGCCAGAAGTGTAAAGTATTTTTTATGATAAGCTGTATCTAGTACAGTTTCCCCTAATATCCAGATTTTATATTTCCACTTTTACTTTGATTATTTTAAATAACAATTATAACTTCATCCCTAAGTTTTACAGAATAGGTGCTTTAAAGGTAGAGCTGCTCGATTATGGAAAAAAGTCATTATCACGATTATTTCGGTCATAATTGTAGTCACGATTATTGAAAACGATTATCAGTTAAAGTCAAAATTATTCGCCTTTCTGTGAATTTTTCCATATATGAATGTTTCCCAAATTATGTTTAACAGAGGAATTTTTTACAGTATTTCCCATAATATTTTTTCTTCTATAGAAAAGCTTATTTGTTTTATTTTGGCTGTGTTTTAAAAATATGATTTGAATATAAATCAATGAATGATGCGCAACCAGTGCTGCAAAAGTTACCATACAGTACATGCTTTTAGTCATTTTCACATAGAACTGAGCTTTGCAGAGCAACAAATGTGTACAACTGGAAAGGGGGACGGTATATGAGGGAATAATTGTTTATTTTGATGAATGGTTTTTTATAATCGTTAGACGCCGAAATCGAAACCGAATTTTCGATTAATTGAACAGCCCTACTTAAAGGGCACCTATTTGACCCCTTTTCAAGATTTCAGATCTCTGTGTTTCCAGAATGTGTCTGTAAAGTTTCAGCTCAAATCTCCATTCAGATTATTTATTATACCTTTTAGAACATTAGAATCCTCCGCTCTTAACGCAATGTAGCTGTTTTTGTTACCTGTGCTTTTAATGCTAGTTCTCACCGCCCACCGTTCCTACGTGCCCGTCAGAGTGTGCCTCAATTTCCGGCTGGGTGCGTCAGATAAATAGCACAGTAAAAGACATGAAGGAAGCAGATCTCACGTAACGTTTGTGAGAAATACTACAGTAAGAACTTTCCCAATGATTATTTGATGTATTTGTTGTGGAGTTAATTCAAGCCTTTCTGCAACGATGAGTCACACACAATGTCTTTACAAAGTTCATGCACACACACAGCATGCACATTCAGCTTTGCACTGTTTTTGCATTGCAAGTGTGACAGGGTACACGTTAATATCCACTGCTGTATGGATATCAGTTATCTTAATGTACAAAATAAACCTGATTTAATGTCCACAAACCGTCATTAAAGCATCTTCTTTTATAATTGTACTGTATTGTTCTTCTATAATTGTACATGCGGTTGTGGTGATAAAGTAAAGATGATAAAATCGCTGCAATTTATTGGAAACTTGCACTGTTTTAAAAGCGTTTTAAACTTGTAAAACTCATTCTTATTCACATTTGATGTTGATTATGATCACAGTGAACTGAACAGATCTTTTAATCCTGGTTGAATATCTTTCATTCCTTTACTAAAAACTGTTTTTGTATTTATTTTTAATTTTCTCTTCTTGCTCAAAAATAAACCCCAAAATATGAGGGTTGAAAATGCTCTCTTTACTTAAAGGAATAGGTCAACCATAAATGAACTCGCCCCCCTAATTAGTTTTAAATCTGGGTCAGTTAGTTTCTTCTGTTGAACATGATAGAAGATATTTGAAGGATCTTTAGTTTTTTCCTTATATGTACCATCAACTGCCTTGTCATGAATATTCTGGTTAACAACCCAGCCATACTTCAGTAGATCATCTTTTGTGTTCTTCAGAGGAAGCAAACTCTGGTTTGCAACAAGTGGAGAGTGAATAAATGATGACAGCTTTCAATTCTGGGTGAACTGTCCCTTTAAATGCTAATCTGCTGTGTCATGTTCTCTGGGTTGAGTTACATCTCTCTTTCCAGGCTTGTTGGAATCCAAGACATTTGCTTGCCTGCTATATAATAATCATAAAAAATTAAAACAGTCCAAAGTCGCTGTTTACACAGTGTTGGCATGGCAACCACTAAGAGCAAGTTGATTGACCTCATCAGTGGTATGAGCGGATTTGTGTAGTATTTGCATGTTAAGGAAGGAGGAGATTTGTCATAGCTTCACATAGTGCTGAAAGTACACTAGATGCTATATTTGTTAAATGAATGTGTATAATAATAATAAGGTTAAAGTAAGACTAAAGTGAGGCTTTATATTTCTTGCAGCTGTGTTTGCCCATTAGCTGAGGTAAAGCTTTGTATTTGTTCACAGAATGTCAGGTTTATTTATACAGTCAGCCTGCTTATTGGGAAATGCTAGTGTCAGATTTCCAATAATGATATTCCAGTACATGAGACACAATACATGCATTGAAAAGCAGGAATGCACTGAGAAGGAAAGTTCAAAAGTTAGGGCTCAGTAAAAAAAAAAAAAAAAGTATTGTGCTCACTAAAGCTGCAGTTGATCAATCAAAAGTAAAGTAACACAATCGATTGCAATTTTTACAAAATAAATAGACAGTGATCTAAATTATTTGAGTATGTAATTTTGGAAACAAGACTGGAAATATTACTTGCAATATACACTCACTGGCCACTTTATTAGGTACACCTTACTAGTACCGGGTTATCCCATTTTGCCTTCCGAACTGCCTTATTCCTTCGTGACACAGATTCAACAAGGTACTGGAACTATTCCTCAGAGATTTTGCTCCGTATTGACATGATAGCATCACACAGTTGCTGCAGATTTGTCAGCTGCACATCCATGATGTGAATCTCCCATTCCACCACATTCCAAAGGTGTTCTATTGGATTGAGATCTGGTGCCTGTGGAGGCCATTTGAGTACAGTAAACTCATTGTCATGTTCAAAAAAACAGTCTGAGGTCAGCTTTATGACATATTGCGTTATCCTGCTGGTAGTCGCCATCAGAGGATGGGTACACTGTGGTCATAAAGGGATGGAGATGGACATTAACAATACTTGGGTAGGCTGTGGCATTAACACGATACTCGAATAGTACTAATGGGCCCAAAGTCTGCCAAGAAAACATCCCCCTGACCATTACACCACGACCAGCCTGAACCATTGATACAAGGCAGGATGGATCCATGCTTTTATTTTGTTGACGCCAAATTCTGAGTCGGCCATCTGAATGTTGCAGCAGACATCGAGACTCATCAGACCAGGCACCGTTTTTCCAATCTTCTATTCAATTTTGGTGAGCCTGTGCGAATTATAGCCTAAGTTTTTTGTTCTTAGCTGACAGTAGTGGCACCCGGTGTAGTCTTCTGCTGCTGTAGCCCATTCGCCTTAAGGTTGGACATGTTGTGCGTTAAGAGATGCTCTTTTGCATACCTCGGTTGTAACAGGTGCTTATTTGAGTTACTGTTGTCTTTCTGTCAGCTGGAACCAGTTTGGCCATTCTCCTCTGCCCTCTGTGGGCGCAAATGCCTTGTTGATGCCAGAAGTGCTGCTCACTGGATAATTTCTCTTTTTCAGACCATCCTCTGTGAACCCTTAAAATGGTTGTGCGTGAAAACCCCAGTAGATCAGCAGTTTCTGAAATACTCAGACCAGCCCGTCTGGAACCAACAACCATGCCACGTTTAAAGTCACCTTAATCACCTTTTTCCCCGTTCTGATGCTCGGTTTGAACTGCAGCAGATCGTCTTGATCATGTTTACATGCCTAAATGCAATAAGTTGCTGCCATGTGATTCGCTGATTAGAAATTTGCATTAACTTTTATTAGCATTGTACCTAATAAAGTGGCTGGTGAGTGTACATTTCTCTTGAAAAATGCTATGTTTAAGCAGGTAAAAATGTATTTTTCAGATCTAATAAATTCTAATTCAGACTAAAAATATTTAGTCTTTAAAACCTCCGCAGATATTTTGACTGTGATTGGCTGTTGTCCTTTTTTTTTTTTTTTGTCTTGACATTAGTGTTTTCTTCAGCTCTGGGTTCATTTTTAAGGCACTCCAGCCAATAGCAGAAGAGCAACTACTGGGGAGGTGGGGTTTAAGGCCTTAGCTGATTAGTTAAATTTAGATAAATAGATGCATAAAATAGATGCAATTTGACACGTTTGCGATATTGATTATATGAATATTGCACATAATAATATTGTAATATTGTTAATTTTGTGATCTATTTTGCAGCTCTAATGAAAAACATTTCATATATTACTATACAGTATATACTTTTAATCAACTAAATGCATATATTTTTACCAAGTGTTCTGTTCATATAATGTATTAACTTTTTTTTCCCCTCACTAGATCTGTTCTAAACTTCTATGTTTAGTATTTGTAGTGCATTAAGTATTTCTAAATACTAATTTCTAAACAAGAAGAGTGAATTAGACTCACTGACACATGCTGGTCTTATCTTTGGCCAGAATCGGACACAACTGTTGTAAGGTGGTTTAGCGAGAGACTGGGTGTGTGTATGTGTGTTAAGCAAGAGAGATCTGTGTGTGTGTGAGAGAGAGAGCAAGTGCGGATGGTATGAATGTTCTCCATTGTTTTGTTTTTGTGGAGTTGATGAGTCATCAATGAGGTCATCAGGGTTTGTCATTTCCACAGACAGCTCTCTACAGCTCTGCACCACAGTATTACTGATTTTGACCAGTAAACGCTTGGCTTCTGGAACAGGAATACAAACATTTCCCAAATGCAAATTCTTCAGAACCTATAAAAAAAACTCACAATGATTGACAGATCAGAATGCTTTTACAATGATCTTTTTAACACTTGCATTTAAGCATCTTCATTTTTTTAAAGTTAGCAAAGGATTTTTGCACCAGAATACTGTAATTGAATTACAGTGTAATGTAGTCAATGCAGTGTATAGTGTAAATGGTGGAATGTATACCATGTGAAGACAAAAAAGCGAAACCATTATTCTGAAATATTTAAACAAGAAAACTGCCTTGATATATATATATATTTTCTGGTAATCAGAATTTGAAGGGAATTGCACCATAATTAATGACAAAGTAAAAAAACAACAACAATTGTATAATTTTTGAAAGTAAATGAAATATGACCCTCCAATATGTCCAATTTTATTGTCTGTGAAATTCACAACGGCTGTCCGCGTCACCCAGCCACGACTCATGACACTGCTCATATTTTTGCCATGCCACAGAGCTCCATCTCAATAATTTCTTTTTAAATAACTTGTGAATGTGCACGTCTGGTGTGCGATTCTTCAAATTGGTGTTCAACGCACTTATTGCTAGTAACACACGTTTTTATAAAACCTTTCCATACACATAATCAGACCCGTACTTATTATCATCCACAAATTAAAATTGTCATCATTTACTCTCCCTTCACTTTTTCAAAATCTATTGTTGTTTTCTTCTGTTGAACACAAAAGAAAATATTTTGAAGAATGCTAGTAGCTGGCTCCCATTGACTTCTATTGTAATGTTTAATCTGACTATGGAAGTCAATGGGTGTAAGCTAGCATTCTTTAAAATACCTTTTATGGTGTTAAACAAAAGAAAAAAACTAAAGATTTAAAACCAAATGAAGGTCAGAGTGTTTGGATGAACTATCTCTTTATTATGTGTCTTTATTACAATTAAAATAATTCATTATATTCGTTATATACTAGACACTCAAAGTGCTTTATACTTTTTTGGTTGGAGTTTCCTCATCCACCACCATTGTGGAACATTCACCTGGATGATGCAACGACAGCCATATTGCACCAGACTGCACACCACACACCAGCTGATTGGTGGAGATGAGACCATTATCTTATGGGGATGTTTCAGAGGCCAGTGGGCAAATTAGTCCAGGATGCCAAGTTTTAACCCCTACTTCTTTTTTCCAAGGACGTCCTGGGATTTTTAACGACCTCAGTGAGTCAAGACCTCGGTTTAACGTCTCATCTGAAAGACGGCGCTTACTGAGTAGTATAGAGTCCCCTTCAATATACTGGGGCGTTAGGACCCACAGACCGCAGGTTGAGTGACCCCCGCTTGCCTCACTAACACCACTTCCAATAGCAACCTAGCTTTCTCATGTGGTCTCACATGGAGGTACTGACCATTTGCAGCCCTGCTTTGCTTTAGTGGGTGACCATGTGAGAAAAAAAAGACTTGTAATTATGTCATCAAATAATTCTTGCATTAAGTACACTTAGACTTAGATTATTGTCTTGTAATTATTGGGGTAAAAAACATGGCATTAAAATGTATGAGCTAAATTTAAAGCTCTATTACGCTAAGATTAAGCAATTTCATCCCATTTTGAACCTATATACAATAATTATCATATATAACAAATATTTGAAGTGTTTATTACTTGTAATATCACTCGTATGTAGGCTTAAACTGAATCTGCAACTTCCATGGATTTTTTAGCCCATCGAGTCAAATTAATTTACTTGTATGAATATAAGTTTTTATATTAATTTCAACAATTTTACTAACTAATATGCAAATGTTTGTTTGATATGTTTACAATACAGTTAGTAAAGTAATTTTCTTTATTTTTATGTAGTCTTTCATAGATTTGTGTTGTAAACTCTAAAGTTAAATGAGTAAATTGTAGTCATTATTTTTTTATGTCGTGTTTGAAGTTTTTAGTTACAATAATCCCAAAATCATTCAGCAGAAAATCACTATTCATATGTTAATTATGTTATGATGTCATTCAGAAATATTATGGTTATGCATAGCTTAGTTTCCATAAATGCACTTGTTGGATTGAGTAGAAAGCTTTATCCTGTAAATGTTTTCATATGGTACATAATACATCAAACCTTTATTTCAAACTAGCCAAAAATAACATTTGACAGTGGCACATGAATAATTGAGTGTGTCTTCCTCTTTCAGAGCTGCGTGTGCGTGTTTCAGATCTACAGCGCGAGGCACAGCTGGAGACTGAGCGCATGAAGGATGTGGAGTCTCGTCTGGCTCAGGCTAACAGAGAGATCAGCAGCAAAGAGCAGAGCCTGACGCGCACGCAAGAGCAGCTGACCCGCGCACAGACCCGCAGCACACAGGAAACTGACAGAGTAAGCTTCTCACTTAGGGCTGATTATGCTAATGAGGGAGAAATCGTCACTGATGGACGGGCCTTTCCTCTTCTGATGACGTGTAGAAAAGGGAGAATGGCATTCCAAGTGTTTCTACAGAGAATTATAAAGTGTGATCATAATTTTAATTATTTTTTTAATCAGTTTTTACCATTAGAGGCTGGCCATATTCGCACAGTGTCACCACACAACTGTGTTCGAACCCCTTATAAAAGTGATTTTAAAAATGTCCAAGATTTATACAGGGCTCGAAATTGCGACCATTTTGGTCGCATATGCGCCCGAAATTTTATCTATGCGACCTTAAAATATATTTGGGAGCATTTCTGCGAGTGCTTAAAATTGTTATGTGCGACCAGTTTTTACTGTAAAATGTTCACCACATGCGCGGATTCGGGAGAAATTCACGCAGAATGCATCTCTGCACTTGAAACGCGAAACGCAGCGCTCGGGAATGGTTTAAAACAGTTGTCATGTCAACTTGCTTCAGTAAACAAATCCAAGTCCGTAATGCGTGCCCCGCCTTCACGCTCTTCTTATTGGCCCACTGCTCTAGCAGTGAACGCGAATGATTGGTTAATATCAGCTGTCAATCACTCAGTCAGCGCTTCTGGCTTGGGATGACAGAGAGAGAGCTGCTACCGCGAAAAATTGTAAAGCGCTGAAGAGGAGAATGAAGATAACACTGACAGATTTTGTTTTAGAAACCATGACATCTAAAGTTATAAATACTGAAACATCTTAGTAGTGATCATGTGCTAAATGTTAATCCACTGTCTAAACTTTTCCTTGAGTAGAAGACTTCCTTTGGCTTCAAGTCCGCTATGTAAAGTCTGTGGGATGGAGTTTTCAGGTAACTGTTTGCCACATCTAGCACGAGAGCTTCTGTTTAATCTCTTATATAATCGCCAGATGCTGTCCGCCATGCAAGGGACAGCTATATGTCAAATTGAACACCACGTACACCATCGCGAACGGGCTTGCATTGAGTAAACTAATATCGCTACTCATAAAAATAAACCGGTATTGCTATTAACATGTATGCATATAATAAGCTACAATCTGTGTCAAAAGCATTAGTGCAATATCAGACAGCACTTGTGAGAACAGCACAGTTATACCATTAACAGATTAATTTAAGTGCGTGCAGGGTAGGTGAGCGCTCCGTGTATCTTTTGCTCACTCAGTTCTGTTATAAAAATCTATTTTCTTGTGATAACGGGATTTCGTTGAGACATATTTTCCTCACGCTTGCATTTATATATATATAATTTTTTTTGCTTGTTAGTTTGATAAGTGTTGAATTCAAATACAACAAATCTGTTTGTATAAAACGTGTAGTAACGGTGCTCATAATTGGTGGGTGTGACTAAATTTTGGCTGATGCGCCTAAATGTTTAAAGTTAGGAGCACCGGTGCTATCAAGCAAAAAGCTTAATTTCGAGCCCTGTTTATATATCCGTTGCATTCGTTTGAAAACACAGTGAACACAATTCAACATGCAGCGCTGTTTGAATGATATTTTGGCCAAAACACCCACTCATACCATCAGACTCAACTCTAATATTCATGATAATAATATTAATAATAATAGTAATAATAATGATAATAGGCAGTTTAAAATAAGGTTCAATTAGTTATCCTATTTGGTATAATTAAATAATTTTATCAATATGTTATGGTCATTAATGAACAATAGTATAGAGTGCCATTGTAATGTTTGAGGTTGGTATTTATTTATGTATTATTTATTATATATAATTCATTATTTATTCATTTTTTGAAGTCACTTAAATACCCTCACCAAGGCTGCATTTATTAAATTAAAATGCAGTCAAATAATTATTACATTTTACATTTATTTTAGTGTTATCATGATCACCAGTTTCAATGTAAACCATAGTAAACATAGTATTATCATTTTATATTTACATTATTATTAAAATGTTTGATTATCCTGATTTTGAAAACTTTCTGTAAATTCTGTGAAATAGTGATTAGCTAGTTGTGAAAGGTTACAATGTGAATGCGTGTTTATATGGACAGCTAATAAATTGTTTATATAATGGATAAATGGGTAAAGTATGCTGTATTCCTTTCATTTAAAGTGCAAATTAAATCCCAATATCAGTCACAATTAAAATATTTCAGTTGTTAGAAAACACTCTGTATGCTAGATAAGATCTAGCCTCAGACACCAGATCTTGTCAGAAAATGTCTGTTTCTCTGGGTATCCAGACAACAAGCCAGCGGAGCTGCCCAATACCCAAACCTGTTAACCAGTATTCAACTGAATAACAGTCTCCTATCAATATAGGAGTTGACCGAGAAAGCCAGAGAGGAGCAGAAGCAGGAGATGATGATAAAGAAAGAGCAGAGTTTATTGAATAATCTTCACTGCGTATGATTCAATGCTCAGACTTCGTCTGACTAGGATTAATCCAACAAGTTTTATTATACCACAAGCAACAGCAGTGGAAAATTACTGCTTGACAACATTGTCCAGAGACAATACAGACCTTGAAGTGGAGACATTCTCTTATCTCTTACTCTTGAAAACAAGTGTTGCTTGAATCCACAGTCATACGATTATAACAATATGGAAAAAATAAGTAATAATAAAGCAATAATTACAGGAAAACAATAATCAAAGTTAATCATTAACTAATGAACAATGCAATGATATAATGATAATTTTATAAATCACTAATGATCATATGATTGAATAAAGTAATTAAATGAAGAATAAATTAATTGAAACCAATAAAAAAAGCCAACAGAAATTAATGGTTGCTTTCTTGAAGCAACACACACAAAAGTTTGCTAGAAGGATTCTCAGACACTTGGTTAGATTCTTCATAGTCAAATTGCACAACCATTTTTTTTTAATAAAGCAGCTTTATGCAGTTTTGTGAAATTACAATGTAAACATGGATCTCTGTGAGGTAGTTTTCCATGTGCATGTTTATCAAACAATATCTTGAATAAGGAAGTAAAAGATACCAATAAAAAAACAAAACACAAACATGGATCCCTGCAATTTGTGCTTATTTACTTATGTTTGTATTGTTTTATTTGCCTTTTTAAGTCCTTTTAACAAAACTAGGATAATATTGAGAACCATGATAACCCATACCTTAAATCTTTTATTACTACAATGGCAAAAGTGTAAACCAGTCATTGCTCTAGTTACCAGTGTCAAGAAACCTTTATTATCAGTGCTGAAATGGTTAGACAAACCATGATCATTTATTCCCCAAAAACTCACGTGCTTTGGTGAATGGAATGGAATCTTTTTCTATTGTTTTAGTTGTATTTAATCCATGCTAGCTGAAAGAAAATTAATTTCTTTCCTTTAAGAAAATAGTTATCTTGATTAGTTGTTCATTCATAAATTAACATGTTTTAAATGAATTCTATAAAAAGGATTAATTGTTTGGTTTCTATTACATAATGGAACCAGAAAAGTTGCCAAAAGTTAACTTTATGTGGTGTATTTTGCAATTAATGCAAATGTTTATATGATATGTTTACAATTGTAAAGTAATATTTTTAATAGTCTTTTAGTAGATATATTATATGGTAAACTTGATTTGTTTACTAAACAACTGGATCTAAATGCATTTGCATTGAAAAACTTTCAAATTAATTTAACTTCAAATTAAAGTCATTACTTTTTAGTTCATGTTTTTTTTTTCAATTGTATTTAAATATTAAATTCTATTTAGTGCATGCTAATGTCAATTTCTTTCCTTCAAAATGCTACTTTTTATTTTTATGGTGGTTTATTGAAATTTTTGCAAAATGTTTGCATTGAATGTGCATTGATTGTGTGTCTGTAGGCCCAGACAGCTGAGCAGAAAGTCAAGCACCTTCAGGAGGAGCTGAAATGTCAAAGGCAGAATGCTGAAAGCAGTCGCTGCAATGCAGAGCAGCGCAGGAAAGACATGGAGAGAGAACATCAACGGGTGAGACGCCGGTGATTCAGTGTTTCCTACAGCCCCACTGCAATGGAAGAAACGCAGTAGATTAATTGGTCACTGGTTTCCTTAGGAGAATCTGGAGGCAACCAGTGGCCAATCAGATGTCTTGGTTTTAGCAAAATGGCTTTTTTTAGCCGCTTGCAAGTTATTTTAAAGCACTTCACAGGAGATGATGTGTTAGTCAGTGGTGTATAAAGTACTTGAAAAGCATACTTGAGTAAAACTACTGATATCTCACTAGACCAGTGTTTCTCAACTGGTGGGTCGCGACCCAAAAGTGGGTCATGGGAACATTTTTAGTGGGTCGCGGAGTGTGTGATTAAAAAAAAAACAACAAAAGTTTAATTTTTAACTTACTCTGCTTATATCGGACTTTTATTTTGAAATGCGCGTGCGACAACCGTAGTATTTGACATGTGAAATTTCAGTGCGAGTATGACTCCGAATATGCAAAGTGTGGATTTACATATATTGACAACAAAAAAGGCTTAAAACCCTCATTGTGTCATATGTAATGAGGTCCTCTCACAAGAGAGCATGAAACCTTCTAAATTAAAACGACATTTACAAACCAAACATCCCAGTTGCAAGGACAAACCTGGGGACTATTTTCAAAGACGACTCCAATAGCTGAGGGCATCACAAAAGTGCAGAACATCTTCATGTTCAAAACAAGTACAGGCACTCCGCGCATCTTACTGTGCTCACCGTGTAGCAAAGGCCAAGAAAGCCCACACAATAGCAGAAGAGCAAATTACTGGTGATTATTATGAAAATGGTTATAATTATTTTAATAATTTTACTTTAATTTGCTGGTTTCTGTTCAGTTCAACCTGATCATTGTTAATGTCTTATAAACAGTTCAGTTTGGTTAATGGTAACTTAACTTTTCCTTACCCTAACCACTGTTTACACTATTTGTCGTTTTTCCTTTTTAATATTTCTATATTTTGATTCATTTTGTTAAATGTCAGCAATAAAATATTGTTTATTTGTAAGTCTTGGTGATTTTCTCATAATTTATCTGTCAGTAGTTGTGTATGTTAACAAATAAATCCAAATGAATTATAATTCCTAAAATTATATTATAGTTCCTAAAACTTTGGGTCGCGGCTTGATGACCATGTAAAAATGTGGGTCCAATGGCCAAACCAGTTGAGAACCACTGCACTAGACTATGCCTTGAGTAACAGTTAGTTGCCATTTAGAATATTATTTGAGTAAATATTTTAAAGTATCTGATATTTATTGTACTTAAATACATTCATAGTAAAATGCTTAAGTAATGAAAGTAGAAGTACAAATAAATGCTGCAATTAAAATGAAAGCTTAATCTTTTTTTTAAATATGGTCTACTTAACAAAAAGTCAACAGGTATAAACTAATAAAATCTATACACCGTTTGAGCAGCAAGTTTGTGTTCAGTTTTAACTTTAGAAGCAGAAATGAAATTAAATGCATTTCTCCACTGATTACTTATATTAACAGGAACAAATTGTCTTGGAGAGTTTTTCGTGTTGTCATGAACGCGACACTCGGTTTGAAATGTGAATGAATGGAGAATGATTGACAGGCACAGCGGTGGGAAGCGCTAAACTGAACATAAATTTAAGCACTTGAATATTCATCTGTGCTTCACATTAAACTATAAAATGGCTTCAAAACATTAGAGATATAGTAGGCCTACATGACAACTTTCCAGTGCCTTATAATAGGCTATCTTCATGGCTTTTGTTGGCTTATAAATTACACAGAATATAGCGCACACGCAGGATCGGATTTGGATCGGTACCAGCTGGCCGATACCCGATCCAGCAAAAATATGCGATATCAAACCGATATCCGATGCAAGTATTGGGATCGGTGCATCCCTACTCTCCAGTTTTCATCACAGCAGCCGTTTACAACAGGAGTAACAAGTGTCGCTGTTAGTCTTATTGCTGAGTATTATCTATATAATAATTATAATCAATTGCTAGCTTCATGCATGTATGAGCTTGTTTGGTAAATAAAATGAACTGAGCGGAGCTAGTGTTAGCACTTGACTGCAAATACGCAAACTAATTTAAGTAATGCAGCAGGACCACTGCTCTGTCATTGTGATGTGCAGTCTTTGTTACTGTGGTACATGTTTGTTACTTACTATGAAATTAAACCAGAGTAAAAATATCAAATTTATTGTAGAAATGTAGTAAGGTAAAAGTGAAAGTTGCACGAAAAATAAACCACAGATATTCGCAACTGTAACAAAGTGTTATTACTGTGTTACATTACACCAGTGGTCTTAGTCCTACAATGATTGTGTTTCGTGTTGTGTAGGAGCTGGTGGAGCAGCAGAGAGAGAGGCAGGCTCTAGAGAAACAGCATCAGCAGGAGAACAACAGACTAAACCAGGAGATCCAGCAGGCCAGAACTCTTCACAACACACTGCAGGCTCAGCATGACAAGGTACCTGGACTGATGACTGCCAAATTAAGTGATTCTATTGAACTGATGCTCAGTCTTCATGTAAACAGTGTGGAGTTGTAGTAAGACTAAATGAATATTTACAGATTTTGCTCAGTGTTTTTGCTTTTTGTTTTTAGAAACTGTGCTATTACTTAGTCCAACAATTTTAGGCACCCAAAAAAGTCAAAGTATGCTTTTTATTTTTAAAATGTATGCACACAGTCAAATTCTTAGTCATTCAAATAATTCTAAAATTATGATAGCATACTCACTTCTTTAAAGTTATAAATTATAAAAATGCCCTTGTACTTCTTAAAAAATAGTTGCTGAGATTTCTTCATCCACTTTTCGCTTGTTAGCTTAGTCTTTTTTTTTCCCCCTTGATTTTTATTTATTTTTTTTTTAATAAAATTTTAAAGATTGTACTATATATATATTAGGGATGTATATATATATATTAGAGATTCCACGGTTCTCAATATAATAATGAACCATTCGGTACGACCTCCACGGTTCAATACGCGCTTGTGAATTGCGGTTTTCTCGGTTTTGCGTTTAAATAATTTATGTGCATTTTATATCTCCCCGAACTGACTGTGTGTGCCTGCAAGTCCCTGAGCTGAGATGAGCCGAAAAGACGTGATATGGGAACGGCCGCTGCTATAGTTAATACGGTGAGCGTGCGTATTAGCCTCGGTGTACATACTTGGAACTTTAAACTAGTGCACAGTTGGCAACTTGTCATAACTTTTCCATGCAACAGAAATGCGGCTTAGGGAAGGCTTTACGATTAATTAACTGTGACGAATTAAAGCGCAGTTAATAGTGAAATCAGCTAAACGTTGCATCCCTATTAATGATTACAGTGCATTGTACTAAAGGCATTTTCTACAAAACATATCCAAATGTCTTCGGCTATCCGCACCACTCGCTTATGTTACCTCTCGCTCTGCGCAGCCTCTGCAGCTCATACTGAATTGAACAGATGACCTTCACTTCATAACTATAGCGGTCGTTTTTCGACTGAACTAAATTTATTTTTATGTCTTGGTCACACTATTTGGAGGGCCAGAACTAATTGCCTTTGGGGCCGGGTTTGGTCAGCGGGCCGCCAATTGAATAGCCCTGGACCACAGTCTCGCATTTTTTCAGCACCAAGATAATTAAGATGGTTTATTCATGTTTCCTTAAGTACAAATATGTTTATTTGAAATCGACAATTTATCTTTATTAACTTCACATGTATGTTTTTTTCAAGATGTTATGCGTTCCCCAGTTTGTACATGGGCTACCAGCAGCTGTGAGATTTCAATTTTTTATACAATACTCTAGGAACTAGTGTACTTTTCTTGGCTTTTAAGTAAAACAAATTGATTATTGTAATAAATCGTTTTTATTTGTTTTCTCCTTAACCTCTTACGGTTCCTATTGCCTATAGAATAAAAAAACAAAACAAAACAAAAAAAATGCCATGAGAACCGAACCGAACCAAAAACCGTGTTAATAAACCGAGGTATGTATTGAACCATGAGCTAACTGTATTGTTGCATCCCTAATATATATATATATATATATATATATATATATATATATATATATATATATATATATATATATAGATAAGAATGAATGTAGCGGTAACCATGCTGGTGGTTAGCGCGCCGACATATGGTGCGGTAGCACTTCAGGGCATCCTGAGTTTAAATCCCGGCTCAAGGACATTTCCCATAATAAAGGCAAAAAGGCAAAAAAAAAAATCTTGTCAGTGAACTTGAAGCCAAAAAAAGTAAACAAATAAAAAATTGTTCATTAATCGTAACCGAGGTAAAATGTTCAATTAATCGAGATATTGAGGGCTAAATCGCCCAGCCCTACTCAAATACCCACTAGTTTCAGAGTAACCAACTAGATTAGTGTTTAGACAACCACCTCTTGTCTCTACTCACTTCTCTGTTTTCTTAAATGTAGCTACTTTTTATTTGTAGTTTGCGGAAACAACATTTTTCCAGAAGGCTAAAAACAGCCTTAAACTATCTTCTGCTTTCTGTCCTTTTCCTCTGTCTCTTTCTCTCTCTATTTTCTCTGACTCTTGTGCTTTGTCTCATGGGAGCTCCAGGCCGGCTGTCCGCTGGTTAATGCACTAATGTCACCTCTGTCTCTGTGTCTCATGCTCCCACTGCTCATGTTTTCTCACACACTGCTGTTCCCTCTTTCTCTTTCTGTTTTTCCTCATCAGAGGACACTAAAGCGAAGGTCAGTGTCGCAATCTCTGTGTGATGTCTGTTTTAAACTCATAGCATGGTTTTTTCAGAAATGCCTTGGTCCTCCGGAGACGTGAGTACTAGGAGATGTGTAGATGAACCAGGGGTAGTTACATGTCACTTTTATGTATAGTTCACTGATTAATGCAGTTTTAGTGTTGAAGGAAAACGCTCTGTTTTACTGCTTGTGTAGAATTAGTCATTATTTTATAGTGTTTATAAGATACTGAGTATTGTAATAAGAGTTGTGAAGTAAATACTGAGATCCTTAGAGGTCTCCATCCTGGGGGGACACAAACTAATGTTACATGATCATTTAAAGGGATAGTTCACACCAAAAATCCAAATTCAATCACCATTTACTCTCTCTCTCTCAAGTGGTTACAAACCTTTATGAGTTGCCTTTTTCCGTTGAACACAAAATATAATAATACAAAGACAAATGTAGGGGAGTAAACGTTGACAGATTTTTCAGTTTTGGGTGAACTATGCCTTTAAGGTTAATAAAGTGTGCTGTTTAACCCTCAAGCATACTAGAGGACATTTTTGGGCAAAAATATTTAATATATATTTAATTCATTCATTTTCGTTTCAGCTTAGTTTCTTTATTAATCAGGGGTTGCCACATCGGACTGAACTGCCAACTTACGTCTTTCCAGCTGGAAACCATCACTGGGAAACATTCCCATTCACACACTTACACACTACGGCCAATATTAGCTTACTCAGTTCACCCACACAGGGCTCGAAATTAACCTTTTTGCTTGGTAGCACCGGTGCTCCTAACTTTAAAAATTTAGGCGCATCAGCCAAAATGTAGTCGCACCACCAATTATGAGCACCGTTACTACAAGTTTTATACAAGCAGATTTATTGTATTTGAAATCAACACTAATCAAACTAACAAGCAAAAAATAATAATAATATAAATATGCACGCGTGAGGAAAATATGTCTCAACGAAATCCCGTGATCACAAGAAAATTGATTTTTATAAAATAACTGAGTGACCAAAGCATACACGGAGCGCTCACCGGCCCTGCACGCACTGCTTGAATGAATCTGTTAACGGTATAACTCTGCTGTTCTCACAAGTGCTGTCGGATATTGCACTGATGCTTTTGACACATATTGTACCTTATTATATGCATACTTCATGTTAATAGCCATACCGGCCTTTTCATGAGTAGCGATATTAATTTACTCAGTGTAAGCCCGTTTGCGATGGTGTACGTGATGTTAAATTTGACATATAGCTGCTCTCGTGCTAGATGTGGCAAACAGTTACCTGAAAACTCCATCCCACGGACTTTTTATAGCGGACTTGAAGCCATCAGAAGTCTTCTACTCTTGGAAAAGTGTAGATGGTGGATTAACATTCAGCACATGATCACCAGTAAGATGTGTCATTATTTGTAACTAGATGGTTTCTAAAACTAAATCTGTCCGCGTTATCTTCAATTTCATCTTTAGCGCTTTAGTTTTCCGCGGTAGTAGCTCTCTGTCATCCGAAGCCAGAAGGCGCTGACTGAGTGATTGAACGCGAATGATTGGTTAATATCAGATGTCAGTGTTAGAGCAGTGGGCCAATAAGAAGAGCGCAAAGCCGGGGCAAGCATTACGGACTTGGCTTTGTTTACTGCAGCAAGATGACATGACAACAGTTTTAAACCATTCCTGAGCTCTGCGTTTCCCATTCCAAGTGCAGACAAAAAGCTTAGAGATGCATTCCGCGTGAATGTCTCCCGAATCCGCGCATGTGGTGAACATTTTGCAGTAAAAACTGGTCGCACACAACAATTTTAAGCACTCGCAGAAATGCTCCCAAATATATTTTAAGGTCGCATAGATAAAATTTCGGTCGCATATGCGACCAAAATGGTCGCAATTTCGAGCCCTGCCCACAGCACATGTCTTTGGACTTGTGGGGGAAGCCGGAGCGGAACACGGGAACACGGGGAGAACATGCAAACTCCACAACTGAGGGTCGAACCAGCAACCTTCTTGCTGTGAGGCGACAGCACTACCCACTGCGCCACCTTCTGCCCTTAATATATATTTATTGAATAGTTTTCTTAATCTTAGCAGACTTTTTCTAAGTTTGCCATCTGAACTCAGTATATCGTTTTAGCATCGATATCACAACGTGCGCCTTCACAATAGTCACATCACAGGATCTGCAATGTTGAGTCTGAATCATAGTTGACCTCACTGCTACGTTTAACCATAATAGAGTGAAAGTTTACCATTTAGCTTTAAGTGTTTTTCAGGCCAGTGACCAAGCATTTCAAGAGTTTAAAATATTTGGACACAAATGATGATGTAACAAAGATTAATTATATTTAATTATTTATACGATTTATGTAATGTACATTTTTTTTACCTAAATTTTTATTTCTTTATCCTAGTCTAAATATCTAATTTTTTAAAGTGAAAGAGTTTTACACACTCCTATTGACAGAAAATTTGGCTTGTTTTCAGGGAAGTTTTTTAGATATCTGGACTAGAATTGAGAAAAAGCAAAGTAATAAAGCATTTTTTTGCATTGTGATTATTTATTGTGATTATATATTTCTCTACCTAGATACTGTTAGACTTTCCAGAAAACTGTCAAATAAAGCTATTCAAACATCTTCCAAGCTGTATTCACATCCCATTATTTATTGTAGAAATATAAAATATTGCAATATCAGATTTTTCCAATATCGTGCAGCCCTATTCTGAACACACCCAAAATAGGAAGGAAATTTTTTAACCATAAGAAATGAATAGATTATTATTTTTTGTCTAATAAAAATCAATAAATCCAACATAGTGCAGATCAAACGTATATCTGTACTGAAAAACATGATTTTCTTAAAGGGGTTTTGTCTTGTTTCTAGTCCAAATATGTAAAAATCTAAGCCTTCTGTAGACAAGCAAAAATATAGTTTTGTTTTCAGAAATAATAAGTCAAAATTAAGCAAAGTTTTTCCTTAAAACAAGAAAAATAATCTTCCAATGTGATGAGCAAAATAAACTAGCTCTCTGCGACTCTCACATGGTCGCCTACTAAAGCTAAGCAGAGAACCCCGCCAAGTTTGCCCACTGGCCTACTAACCATCCCCATATCAATTGGCTTCATCACCTTGTCTGCTCTCCACCAATCAGCTGCTGTGTGGTGTGCGGTCTGGTGCGATATGGCTGCTGTCATGTCATCCAAGTGGATGCTGCACACTGGTGGTTGATGTGGAGATTCCTCCCAAAAGTGTCTAGAAAAGCGCTATATACATGCAAGGAATTATTATTATTATTATTATTATTTTGCTTACACCATTGGCCATAATTTTGCTTATTTCAGAAAAACATTTTTAAAAAATTGCAGTTTAAATTATGGTTAGAGCTCAAAACACTCAACAGTGTGCACACAGTCATAAGTCCAACTTTATAATTTGTCCTATAGGAAATGAATTGGGAATGCTAAAATAACAACATGTTCAAAGCTCAAACATTTACACTTTCTGTCTTACATACACACAGCCCCAACAAACACACAGATCCCCCAAAAAACTATTGCCAATTATTTTGTATTGTCATTTTTTATGTTTTGTGATTCTTATACAATCATAAGTAAAAGATTTCATCAGTCAACCAATTTGTAGTGTTTAGATGTCTGAACTTGCTGGAATGATTTTTGTCTTAAAAGATAAATATTAAAGAAGCATAAAATATGCCTATTTTACATATTTGGGTGAAAAAAAGTGTTTAAAAATCTGAAAATGTCATTGGATATAACATTTGATTTAAAAAAGGTTATGATCACACTTGAATAGCAAGAATATACAGGGCTTCAAAATGTAATGTGCTTGAGGGTTAATATGTTTGACATAATTTTTAATCTGTTTTTATTTCTCTGTTTAAGTGTGCACAGACACATTTCAAATGTGTGGTTTGCATGAGTGTCTGATTTCCATGAGTAAGCCTTTGGATTCAAATCTTCAAGTGTTGCATGGTGTGCACATCATCTGGTCGAACTGCAAAACAAGAGAAGGAAGATTTGCATTTTTACATTCCATGAATAAATCTCTCCATTTGTTTGTCATAGTTCTTATAACATGGGTTTGTGTGACATCCTGCATGAAACTAATGACATGATTCCATCCTCCACAAACAGGACATGATGAAGATCTGGCTATTTCCCTTTGAACAGCCCGTAATCCTCTGCTCGCTGTCTTTGTCTCTCAGGTGTGTTTGCAGAAGCAGAGTTTGGAGCGAGATCTGGAGGATGTGAAAGGGAAACTGAAGAACACTGAGGCTGACCTGAAAGAAAGTCAGAAGAGAGAGGCACAAACTGAGGCAAAACTCACGGTACAACAGCACGCACAATCACAATTACCTGAGACACTTAAACTGAGGCTACGTCCAGATAAAAACAATGCTTTTTTTTGTGATTCTAAAAGTTTCACATCCAATACATGTATTGTTTCAAGAATTTAAATAGATTTAAACTTAAAGGGGACCTATTATGCAAAAATCACTTTTATAAGGGGTTTAAACGGTTGTGTGGCGACTGTGTGTGAATATATCCAGGCTCTAATGGAAAAAATAAATGAATTATAGTCACACTTCATGAAAACAGTCTACAGAAACATGTCTTAAATCTAAAAATCCAAAATTTAGGCCTTAAAAAGTCTTTAATTTACTGAAATATTGTGTTGTTGGTTTTAAATCTTTTTCAAACTGGTCTTAAATTTCCTTTGTTCATGTATTGCTATCAAATCTGGCCAAAACCCAAACAATCACCAACAATCATCTCAATAAATCTTTAAGCTTTTTATTTAAAAAGGTCAATTTTAACTCTATTTATCAATGGTTTCATTATTTTCCTTACAGCAACATTTGTTTGAACGTTCTCCATGTGTTTACTGCTGTGGACACCGACTTAGACAGGCTGTTGTGCATAGATTTAGTTTATTATAGTTTTAAAAACTTTTGTTCATTTTTAAATGATTTTAAAGAAAGTTTATGTTGAATACAAGTAGAGCTTGCTTGTTTTTACACAATATTTAAAATATCTAGCTACGAAGTCAAATCTAAAATATTTAGTTTTTTTAATTAATAATGTATTGTTGTTTTAATAAATTACTTTTTTTTGATAGGGCAAATAAAAAGCTTTTCCATCTGGGCCATTTGAAAAAGTCCTTAGCCTTTTTAGCCCTTTATGGGTCTAAAATTTTATTTATAATTGTCCTAAAAGTCTTAAATTTAACTTTATAGACATTCTCCCTTTGTACATGTCATCAGAGGGGGAAAGTCCTGCCCATTGGTCCTTCATTAGCATAGACAGCCCTGAGTGAGAAGCAGCCGTCCACTATTGTAAATGTGTAAAGATTTCAAATGCACCTCCAAAAGCACAGTCCCATCCCATCCTCTAGTTCTATAGTTCCCAAACTTTACTAACTTGCGGCTCTCTGCATTATCAAATTCACCTACAATTTGTGACAATTTGGTAACTATTCAGACATAACACTGTTTACTGTCTTTATTGGATAAACTTGCCAACTATTTGTCATTTTTATTTTTAAATACTCCATTTTGTGGGAATCTCGCACTTCATTCTAAGCACCCGCAACCTGCACAAACATGAGTCTCTTACAACCTGCACCATTGTGCATATATGCTGCAGCATTCACCCATCAAATCTTGCATCAAGTTTTGGGAATTCAAATCTCAGCAGAGCCAAGCAGTCAAAACCGGCAGAGCACAGAAACAGGAGCACTGGACCTATTGATAGCCATCTATTCAGCTTAGTTTGTAACCAATAAGCAACACTCAAATAGTCCATGTGTAGTAACAGTTTATTATTTATTTCCTGTTTTTTATTATACATCATATTATGATTAGACATTTTTGTATATTAACAAGGATATTTTTATATTACAATGATTTGATGGGTGATATGTAGGCCCACACGGAATCTGCGCACAGAATTCTGCAGATTTTCCGCAGAATTTCGCAGATTTCTGCTGTTTTTTAGCCCATTATAAATTCAGTTTATTTACTTGAGTAAATGTGTAAATCGGAATTTATTTAGTTTTTATTCAGTAGTTTATTACTTTTTATTTAATATATTAAAGTGTAAGTTATGATACTCCGCTGGATACTCCCAAAATAATTCCGTAGAAATCCGCAGATTTTTACCAAAATTCTCAGCAGAAATAGCAAAAAACGTCCACAGATTCCTTCTGGCCCTAGTGATATGCCACAGCCATATCACTCTGCAGCCCAAGACCGGTTACTCACTGAATCTAAGCAGGGCTGAGCCTGGTCAGTACCTGGATGGGAGACCACTAGGGAACACTAGGTTGCTGTTGGAAGAGGTGTTAGTGAGGCCAGCAGGGGGCGCTCAACCTGTGTTCTGTGTGAGTCCTAATGCCCCAGTATAGTGAAGGGGACACTACACTGTCAGTGAGCGCCGTCTTTCGGATGAGACGTTAAACCGAGGTCCTGACTCTCTGTGGTCATTAAAAATCCCATGGCACTTCTCGTGAAAGAGCAGGGGTGTAACCCCGGTGTCCTGGCCAAAGTCCCTCTATCGGCCCTCACGATCATGGCCTTCCAATCATCTTCTTTCACCGAATTGGCTCTATCACTGTCTCTCCACTCCACTAATAGCTGGTGTGTGGTAAGCGCACTGGCGCCCTTGTCCTGTGGCTGCCGTCGCATCATCCAAGTGGATGCTGCACACTTTTGGTGGTGTAAAGAGACTCCCCCTCATGATTGTGAAGCGCTTTGGGTGTACGGCCATAAACAATAAATGCGCTATATAAATACACATTACATTACATTATTTTTAACAACTGGTGGCCTGCCTGCAATACGGCCATGTGCCACAGGTTAAAAAAAAAAAAAACACTGGTCTAGTTTATACAGCATTAGCAAGTTTTTTTTTTGTAATAGTGCTAATAAACTTAGCAACTCTGTAATCCGTCATTGTTGTTGTTGCTGGCTGTTATATGCATGGTTCTTCTAGTCTAGTCTAATAAAAGTAGCTTTTTGCCTATCTACATGGTTGCACAAGGGGTGACATTTTGACATTTTTCCACTTTGTAATCGGTTATCCAAAAAAATTGTTTAAACACTGACAATGCTAGTGTTGTGTGGACGAAAGGCCAAAATGATGTTATATTGGTGCAGCACTGCGGTCAACACATTTAGATCAGTTCAGAACTTTATTTGTGTTTCAAATAAATGCTGTTCTTTTCAACGTTCATCCAATATTTCTTTTATCATCAGATCTATTTTTAACATTTAATGATAATGTTTTCTTGAGAACAATATCAGAAGGATTTTGGAAGGATTGTGTCACTGAGGGCTGGAGCTTAAATGATTGTTCATCATTGACTACTGCAACAATTAGGTTGTTTTTCCTCTATCAGGCTGACCTCTCCTCTTTGCTTAAAGGTGCAGTAGGTGATTGTCTTCTGTAGCATTTTTGTTGTGCTGGTTGAAAGTCTCTTCACAGTCTAACAGTAATGATTAAAGTAAATGATCTAAATGTGTTTGTATGTATTTTTATACTTTGGGTGAAGCATAAAAGTAAAAAATGTTCATCCAAATAAACAGAGTCGGACCGACATCTCTCATAATGTATAGCTTATAAGTAGCTCAAACTGTCTGTCAGCAAATGCTGATTTGAACAACCGCGCAGCCTTTTGTATGCAGCTCTGCCGACCACCGCACGTTCACAAGAGAGCACGCGCGCGTGATCGGTAAAAACATGCTGAATCAAAACTTTTTAAAAACCTGAATCCATATTGGAGTTACATTTGCACGCTGGAGAAAGGATGACACAATGGCTGAAGGATTTCTCTTAGACACGTAATGTTCTGTTTTAAAACTGCTTTAGCTTCACGCAGAGCTGATGTAACGTTGGATGTTGTTGTATCAAATGGGTTATATCTTCACAGAAGTGTTGTTCAGCCACTAAAATCTTTAGATGAAAGATTGATAAGACTTTTTTCAGTTTCGTAAGGGAATTTTACAGCATCGATAATGTAGATTTTATTTAGTTTAACAACAAAACACAAGTAAATACCGCTATTCCGCCTAGTCTCTCCCTGTATAGTTTACCATGCAACTCTAAATATTTGCTCTGAAATAGCATGTCAGTTTGGTTTGCACGCCGCCGGACAAGCACTAGTCGCTTTTAACACATGCGAGGCAAGGCAAGGCAAGTCTATTTATATAGCACATTTTATACACAGTGGCAATTCAAAGTGCTTTACATAAACAGGAATAAACAAGACAAGTTTAGGAACATAAAATGCAGACAATAAAAAGTATTATAAACAGATAAAAACAAATTAAAATGAGTTAAAATAGGTTATAAAAGAATGAAAAAGAAAACGAAAAACATAATAGTGCAGAGAGAGGGTTCTTTTGCTGTGCTCATATTTAAGGAGGCGTGGGTCTAGACGGCAGGGGAGGGACTGTTATTCAGAGATTTATGCTAAGCTGTTAGCATTGTGGAAGGTCACCTATTGCACCTTCAAACGTTCCATTTTTCCAGATCATTGTGGATGTGGTTTCATTTTTCATGGTGGGGCCTGTTACGGAGCTCTCTGGAATGTAATACAAATGTGCCATTTGTTGTCTTGCTAATGCAGGTGTAGTATAAATTGCGATATGGACGATGGACGATATGTCTGTTTTTGGGGGAGAATATTTACTTTGTTGAATAACAAAAACTAAAAATGATAAATTAATAGCACATTTCCACTTAATGTAGTTGACAAGAGTTTGGTTACATCATGCTTCACGTACACAAATGGAAATGCAAAAAGCTTGTATGGAAATGGAACTGGAATCATTCCTGACTGTTGTCAGAACCATTCGCCATGATTGTTAAAAATCAGCTTTTAAAAAAGGACGACACATTTTGTGTGTCTGTATGTGTGACTAAACACACCAAGGTTCATTCAGAGACATGCCTCAGTGCTTCAAAATATAATAAAAATGCTTGGGTAACTTTAACAAGAGTGTTGTTATTGAATGGCATTGACAAAGTCCAATTCAGGTCACCTGTCTGTGTCTGCTTGATAAGGCAGAGCTACCTATAATTATGAGAGGCTGGCAGATTGGCACTGACCACCAACCAAATGTGGGTATTGCTGCCATTTTAACCTGTCATAAAGCACATAATGATCAAAGAAAGAAAGAAAATCCAGTCAAAAGAATGAGAAACAAACAGGTGCCACACTTTGTGATAGCATGCAACATTCACTTACGATTTAAATGGAGTTTTTCACTTGAAAGACTAAATTAAACTTTACATGGTTACTATAGGTCATGTACCCTACAATATACAAGGTGCATAAACCGTTTTATTTGTTTCCTTATTGAGGGTGTCCCCGAAAATACACAAGCATTAAAAAGTTTTTGCTAGAAGTGTTTATGCTCACCAATGCTGCATCAATTTGATTCAAAAACGCATTAAAATGGTGATAGTGTGAAATATTTTTACAAATATATGAATTTTTATATTTGACTATCTTAGAAAGCAGTTTATTCCTGTGACTCGATGTAGATTTTTAGCATCATTACTCCTATCTTCAGTTTCACATAATCCTTCAGAAATAAATCCAGTATGCGGAATTTGTTTTTTAAAAACTTGTATGCATTTTCAACCATAAAATTTATTTTCAAATAATTATAATTTTTTAAAACTTTTTTTTTCTTTACATTACAGATATTTATTACTAACATAAACCTTCCAAACAGAAGTGTATAGCTAGCTCACACACTGACCAAACAATTCATTGAACACACACACACAGATGAAGCTCCCAGTGCAACAATACCGTTACTGACTCAGCTGAATGCTGTCTCAGATATAGCACCGTTATCTCCTTATGACTTCTGTTTTGCACCGGGGCTTGGGTTTAAGCACTCTATTTTTAAACAGCGTGCGTGTAATTTTTGAGTCATGCATTATAATCTCTCAAAGCTTTTATGGTGTTTAAAGTTCCTGTGAGATCAAAATAAAGTATGTTAAATATTCGTATCAGTATGTTTATCTTTCTTTAAGCTAAAAAACAGTGACAAAATTTGCATCGAGAAGATATAAACATCCAAAGCTTGCAGTTTGTCACTTCCACCTAAATGGATCAACAATTTGTTTGACGTCACCTTGTGCTGTCAAAGCCAGTTCCTGGAGGGCCGCAGCTCTGCACAGTTTAGTTCCAACCCTGCTCCAACACACTTACCTGTAGGTTTCAAACAAGCCTGAAGGACTCAATTAGTTTGATCAGGTGTGTTTCATTAGGGCTGGAACTAAACTGTGCAGAGCTCTTCCAGGAACTGGCTTTGACACCCACGTTCAAAGCAATCAAAGTGTAGTGTATTGTAACGTGCAGATCACGATTGCTACTTAAACACTTTTATTTAGTGTATTTAGCTGTGTCTTTCTCTTGCATACCTCACCCTAAACACTTTTGTGGATTCTTACTGCATTTTTGCTCTTAAAAATAATTTGTTGCTACAATACCGTTCTATAAAGTAGTTTTATGGCTTTTTGTGTTTGATGGGAGTTTCATTGATCTTGCATGCACTGCTCATCTTGTCCTGTAGGAGGCGCTGAGGGAGTGTGAGAGTCTCACTGTTTCTCTGGGGCAGATGAAAAAACAGGAGAAAGTGCTACAGGAGGAAGTGAAGCGCTTGACTGAAGAGCTTGCTGAGGCGCTCAAGCTTATTAAAGAACTGCAAGGTACGCTAGTAAAGAATATCATCTGCAAAGAGAACGGTGTTTGGATATGTTGGCCTTCCCCTTTTACACACAATCTCATGTGTCTGCCTCCCTCTTCTGTCCAGACTTTGACAGTGTTTCATCATAAAATAGTTTATTTAAAGCCAAAGCAGTAGAACATAAGTCGTAAGACCATACATGTTCAATATAGATGAATGCATTAACTAGCACTTTACATATGAAGAGTTCAGATGCAAAAACCTCAATCCATCAGACCTCTTGTCTTGTAAATGAGCATTTTCTATCATGCTCCTCTGATAAGGTCCAGAAGTTTCGTTTTATAGGTGAAGATGGTGTTATTAGCTTGTAAATAAAATACCTTTTTTTCCCCCAAAATGTCACTTTAGACAATTTTTTGTTTTTTAACATTGTAAATTTTCTTTTGCATCAAAACCAGCTAAATCCACGTCTGCTTTTTATGCAAAACCCTTTAAATCCACCTAATGGAACAAGATAGTGTAATTAGTTCAAAATTAGGATTCCATTAGAAATTATTTTACCAAACATAAAACACATTACACAAACCACCTGAAATTTAAAATAGATTAATCGGTTAAGTAAGTGGTGGTTCATTCCGCTGTGGTAAACCAGGGAAAAAGCAGAAGAAAATGGAATGAATGAAATCTGTAAAGTAAGTGCACTAATCAATAACATTAAAACTGACATTAATTAAATCTTAACAATCCGTTGTCATTTCTGATATTAAGGATTTAGATTTTATTCAAGTAGAACAATGTAAACATTGCACACATTGTAAACCAAGCTTGGTAGATGCAAATAATGTAGTGTAAAAACATTGTGAAATATCAATATCTGTGCATTGTCCATTGTCCAAAAGCTTATCAGATGTATAGGTTTAATGAAGTAGGCTAATATAAATGTATAGTTTTATACATTATATTTATCTTATAAAAATAGCTTAAATTAGCAAATAAAACACAAGGTAGACCTACTGGGCAAAAAGGGACGTCTCTCAGACATTTTTAGATGCTGTCATTCATTCATTCATTCTGACCATACTTCCACGTGGGATAAAAGAATGACATCTTAACTCTGTCTTTCGTGAAACACAGTTGCCGTTTATTGTATAGTAAATCGGACCCATTCAAAGTAGCGTTGATGCTCAAAAACACGTTATGAATGCATGCTACACTTCTGACTGCATATTGTGTTGTCTTTTTCTTATAATGCACAGAGTTTTGAGGTAAGGCACGTTTTCATTTGCCGTTCACTGACAGTCGGACAGGCTCATCTAGTTCATCAATCTCCGTCTTTAAAAATCGAAGGCGGAATATGTCTCTGCATAAAAGCCGCTATATCAGCGCGCTGCTACATTGAAAACATATGATTTGATTTGCGATTAATTAAAAAGGGTTAACATTTGCGACTTTTTGTTGATTTTTGCATTGGATTCAGCGATTGTAAAATCGCAAAAAACTGGGGGTCTGCATATTGCAAACTTTAATTGTATTCTTATTGCTACTATAATGAAAAAATGCAGTTATAAGTGTATGCTTTACAAATGCTATTACCCCACTAAAAGGGGTTACAGGAACTTTTCTTTTTGCCTTATAATTGCCTAAAGAAAATCCTATTGAAAATAATCATAACCTGTGAAAATCTATACTTCTACTCTCATTACACCCTTCTGTTTTTAAGACCTTCGAGATTAGTTAAAAAGGCCCAGGTTAGGAGAAGGCTACAAAACATTTTAAATGCTGGAAAAGTTATTTGGATTGTGATTTGATTTCAGGCTGTATGACAAATAAAGTAATCATTTCAAAGGGGTATGATGATTTTTTTTATTGGCGCTGTACTTGCCAAATAATAGCATTTACCCTTTTTTCTTATATTATTCTTATATTTTTTTATATATCTTTTCTACAGCTCAGCTGGCCGCTTCTCCTCCACCTGTTGCTGCCCCTAACTTTAGCTCAGCTGGAGACTCCTTCTCTCCCTGTGTTTCCCTCCATCACGACCGCTCTTCCCCTTTCAACAACTCCTCTCAGAGAAAAAGAGCCCCTAATACAGGGAGAACAAGGGAAGAGGAGAGAATGAAGTATCCCTCCGGTAGAGAGCCTGGAGAGGGCATCGACTCAGAGCACATTGACAAATTTGAGTCCGAGGAGAAATCCCAAAAGCGTATAGGAGTCCAAACACTTCCAAGTGGCTCTCTGAAACTGACTGAGTTTGATTTAGACACCTCAGTGATGGAACAAGACACGGGTATTGAAGATGTGGATACGGACTCCTTCACGTCCGACTCAACCAGGGGCACGATGCCTAAAAGTGAATCGGACATCAGTCGCAGCCTAAAGTTAGACAATACATCAGGTAAAACAGAAAAATATGACTCTACAACTCTGAAAGATCTGAAGAAGCAGAATGCAGAGCTTCAAGATGAGCTTAGAGATGTGAAATATGACCTTCAGAAGCGACTTGAGGATCTTGAAACCCAGAGGAGAGCAGAAACTGAGGCCAGGACCAAATTGAAGCAATTGAGTCGCAAACACTCAACCCAGACAGAGCAGCAACGTGCCAAAGCTCTGGAGCTCAAGGATAGCCTGGTGAAATTGGAAACTCAGCTGGAACAAGAGAAGAAGGAGAGCTCAAAATTAAAGGAAACACTTCATGCTCTGCAAAGTGAAGCTGAGAACAGGAAGGTGAATGACCAGGAAGAAGATTCACAGCTGAAGAAGGCCTTGGCTGAAATGGAGCAAAAGGAGACCATCATGGAAGAAGAAATGATGGGAATCAAAAAGGAACTGCAAGACCTTCAACTAAAGCTTGCACAGGAACGGGAGGAGAGGGAGCAGGAGAGATTGGAGGAAAGGAAGCTGATCAGAAGAGAGGAAGGACTAAAGATTGCACAGCTTCAGGAAGAGCTGGACATTCTTCGAAAGTCTACGGGTTTGGAAGAGAAGATATCAAAAGACAATCTTCCCCTCACGTATTTACATCTAGAACACCACCAAAACACTGATCAGAAAGCTGATCTTACCGAAAACAAAGACTTGATTCCTTCTCCAGGAGTTCAAGAGTTTTCTGTGAATCTTCAGAACACAATGGTCCGCAATGAAGCTAAAACAATTGAGCTGATTATGGACCTTGAAGCACAAACTAAACCGAAGACCTCTCCTTCAGATATGAATAGGGCTCGAGCATTAAGTACAGAAGCTTCAGATTTGGACAACTCTACGGTTTTAGTTTTGGAGGTGGAACGCTTGAGAGCTGCGCGAGACAGAGAGTCTGAGAAGGCAAAAGTATCTCAAAGAAAGCTGGAGGAGCTACAGAAGCAAGTGACCACTCAGACCAAGCAACTCACCCAAGCTTTCGAAAGCCAGAGCAAGCACATTGACAACTTGTTAAGCGAGTTAGAGGATAAAGAGTGTGCTCTCCAGAAGCAGGCAGAGGAGCTGCAAAAATGCCAGGAGAAAATCTGTTTTCTTGAAGAAAAACAAACCAGGACGAATGATCTCTCTGCACCTCCTGAACTATCTACAGAGATCTCAAGAGAACTGAGCTGTGATTCAGTCTTCAGCAACACGAGTATAAGTGACCATGAAATGTTTAGTGATGATACACCACCGGTTTTGAAGGAGAAGGTCTCAGAACATACTGTACAGCTTCCTGTTGAAGCCTCTGTTATTCAGAACATTGATCAAACAAACACTAGTGAGATTTCTGATAAGCTACAAGCGACTGAACATTTTAAACAACAGTCTGTAGACACTTCAAATTCTAGCACAGCTTCAGATGCACCAATAATTTCTGATGTAACTGAAGAGAAATCAAGTTCTGTCTTGCAGGATGAACAGTTGAATGTTGTTAACTGCCAAAATGACAGTATTCCAGAACATTCAATTCATGATATCAAGGAGCTCGAACGAGTTACAAAGGAATTACAAGCAGCTCAACTCGAGCTAAATGTGATGAAGGCTCAGAATTCAGAGCTTGCTCTACAGGGAGACATGATAAAAGATAAGCTACTGAATGTTCAGCAAGAGAATCAAGAGTTGAAATCAACTCTGAAACACTTGTGTGAAGACACTGGTGCTAAACAAGATGGTGCCTTAAATTTAGCGAACTCTAAAAACAAATCGTTGTTGAGTTCAAATGAAGGATTGCAAAGCATCTCCCCATTAGGGAAAGAGAAATTGGTCGTTCAGCATGGAAACTCTGAAGCGGAGGTTCAGTCTCTTCAGGAGCAGGTACATTTTAGAGAACTAAAAAATAGACGTCATCACTTGTCTCAACCAATCAGTTCATTTTGAATGGGTCTAATGCTGGGTTCACTACATCATTCACTCTAGTTTACTTATGGGATGTTTTTCCGCTTCAAGCTAATTTCATTTAAGCCAAAGCCCAGTTCACAATACAGGATTTTAAGCCTGATTTGAGCCCGATTTGGAAGTTAACAAGCTTTCTGACAGATCAGACTGTGATCAGGGAAACATCTGAGGTGGCTGGCAGGCTTTGTGTGAACTACTGAACAACGCATCATAAAAGCTTGCTGATGCGTTGCTGACACCTCGTAGATGAAAATCCATTATCTAGCATGCTAAATATTCTAGACCAGTCGGCCGACTCAACCCCACCTGCAGTCGGATGTAGTGACTAGCTGCAGCCAATGAGAGAGCATATCAGCATGGGCTGTTCAGGAGCTCAACGGAAATGTCTGTGATTGGCCAGAATGGGCATTGATGCACTTGCTTCGTTCTGTTTACACTAAAAATATTATCTTTTTGGTAATACAGCCCATAACTAGTTAAGCTACTAGAGCACACGCAAGGGTCTGGGCCTCGTTTTCGTTTTCACTTTCTTAAACTGGAGCTATTTCGTGGCACAGAATATGCTGCTTTCCTATCTGAAGTTTTTTAATTAAATTTTTAAAACAAATAAAATTTATTCAATCAATAAATTTATTCAAATAATATTTTTGTCACTGAACATCTTTAAAAATGGAAAGATAATACTATTAAAGTTTTTTTGTTTAATTTCTTTTAATTTTTTAATACATTTTTTAACATAAATTTTGGTTTACTAATTTTTGGACAATTATCGTGAATTATTTGGGTATTATTTTGTGAAGCTCTAGATTTGTCTTCAGTTGCGACTGAACTAATGTATGTGCACAAATATAATATTGTATAGCACCCAGTAATAAATATCGATTCAAAAATAGATTTGTGAGAGGTGTGCGCAAATATGCTGTGCAATGTATATCTGAAACTATAAAACTTCCCTGAAGCGATGGCAATTCTTCTATTTTTTGTCATCCTTCTTATTTAAGGATGACATAAATGTAACTAGATGGAAAAACCTTCATATGAATTTAGTAATGCTGCACCATTATTAATTCTTATAATTGATTACTATTAAACAAAAACAAATCATTATTAGCATTAAACTCAAAGGTTAACTAATTGGGAAATTGTCATTCTGTTTTTATATTCATTTCATTCTTTTTTTTTTTTCCATGAATATTCTGTATTTACTTCAGATCCAGAAGTTGCAGGACCAAATCCTGGACCTCTTTGAACAAAACAGGACTCAGGCTGAACAGCTGGAGCTCTGGAAGCTGTCCACTGTGGAAGAAACAGCGGGCAACAACTCACCCTCTATTGTGCTTAAAGAGTTTGAGCTGTTCCTCCCCTGCGGTCCTAGCAAACTGCACACACAGTCTCAAACCAGGTATCATCCATTAACATCCATTGCTATAAGCGACATAGTAAAGTAAATAGTGATTGTTTGAAATAATTTGAAAGGTCATGTTAGGTACTTAATGTGAATTATGGGAATGTTGTTCTTGAGGTTGGGAAGGTAAACACAGATTCACTGAATGAGCGATGTTTATGTAGGACCTTTAATGCAAGACCCTTCAGTCTGTGCTCTGTCTGCTGTAGGACCATGATGCACCAGTGCGATGTCAGAGATGTGACTTATCACTCTGGATTAGATGACTCAAATCTGACCAACAGTGACGAAAAAGTGTCGTCTAAAACCCAAATAACAATTGATGTGAGAAATTCGCAAGGACCTGCTGAGGTAAATGATAATTTTATAATGTCATAATTTACTATGGGAAAAGTGTTTAACTGGGTTTTTAAAGAATAGATTTGCAAATCCGAACCTGCAAACCAGGAAAACCCGGAAAAGTCATGGAATTTTTGCATGCCATTTTCCAGGTCTGGAAAAGTTTTGGAAAAACAGAAAAACCCACAAAGTTTTGGAAAAGTCATGGCAATTAGTTTCAAATTAGTTTTCAAATAACTGTATACCTGAATTAGGACTGTGCGGTATTGGAAAAATCAGACAATACGATATTTTGTATTTCTGTGATGGATATTGCGGCGTGAATACAATTTCACCAGATGGTTTAACAGGATTATTTGTATTGATTGGGGGATTTTGTATAGGAGTGAATCTCAAATAATATACAGGGTGGGCCATTTATATGGATACACCTTAAAGGGCCATGAAACCCCCTTGTTTCAGCAGGGTGTTTTCACACCTCTACTTTGAAAAAAGTCAGAAAAGTGGGCGTGTCCAGCTCTGTTTAGGGGGGAGTGTCGGAGGAACTAAAGTGGGATGGTGTGGGAGTGTCTATTTGGGCGCGCGCGAGTTTCAGAGTCAAAATACACACACATGAGAAAGTGATGGTGTTAAACCTACATGGACATCTGTAGTGGAATTATTTGCCAAATTATTAAATGATGGACTTTAACTGCAGTTTGGCTCTTTCATTCAGGGAATTCATTCATGCCCCTCGCAACAAACTCGATATTTGATTCGAGGATCTGCTCTAAGCGTGTATTTTTCATGCAATGTTTGATACCGCACGGCGAATGAGAGAAAAAAAAACCTCAGCATTTTCCAGAAACTTAGATGCACACGGCAGGTAGCGTCAGAAAGCCGCGTGTGTTATTCCGGTCACAAAATGCGGTTAAAAACCCTACTCGAGGTTAAAGTTTGGTTGTGGTCCTAACATGTTACGGTGCAATAGTTAACTTAGTTCGATACGAACAAACTGAATAAACAAAGAGCACTGGTCACTCACTTACCAAATCTGTAGAGACAGGACAATCACCAGCAACTATAGCCGCGTCTTTATGAAGAGAATACTACAAGCGATTCCAGATCTCAGTGTTTGCAGATGAGAACAGCTCTCAGGTAAACAATAATCCTCCTTAGACACGTAAGTTATTGTTGTCGAGCGTCGCGTACACTGTTAATCCACACGTGAGACTGAGCTCTCACAGAGAGAAACAGAAAACGAAACTTAACTGCAGCAAACTATAAAAGCAACACTTCACGCTTGTTTTGCCAACACAACGTGGCGTCTCTGTCCTGAAAACACGGTGATAGTAATGAATATTAATGAAGTTGCACAATAGAGCGCGCTGATTGGTTTGAACCAAGCCTTACTCATGCATTAATGCAACATACTGTAAGACGTAATAAGACTCACTCTGGCACAGACGCCCAGTCTGCACGGTGGAATACAACGCTATTATGTCATGACCGTGACGCAGCTTCAAAAATTAGTTTCAAACAGGAAGTACGAATTTGCTTAAAATAACGCAAAAACAACCAATTTACCCTTTTTAGTGAAATATAGGTGTCCTAATAGTGTTTATAGCAGTGTGGGACACATATACGACTGTCAACAGCTCACAAAATGTGTTTTGGTGTTTCGTGACCCTTTAATAAAATGGGAGTGGTTGGTGATATTAACGTCCTGTTTGTGGCACATTAGTATTTGTGAGGGGGCAAACTTTTCAAGATGGGTGGTGACCATGATGGCCATTTTTAAGGTGGCCATCTTGGATCCAACTTTTTTTTTTTCAATAGGACACATCGAACTTATTGGGAATTTCACAAGAAAAGCAATGGTGTGCTTGGTTTTAACTTAACTTTATTCTTTCATGAGTTATTTACAAATTTATGAGCATTTATAAAATGTGTTTAATGTGCTGTCTATTGTGTTGGATTGTCAATGCAACCTTCTTCTCCCACTCTTCACACACTGATAGCAACACCGCAGGAGAAATGCCAGCACAGGCTTCCAGTATCCGTAGTTACTTCTTGTATCTTCACACCATAGACAGCAAAGATAGTGGGGCCATTCTTCATCTATGGAAAGCTTAAGGCCACTGGATATTTGAAATGGCTATATGATTATGTGTATCCCTTTTTATGCACTGAAGCTGGCACGTTCCCTGAGTGTTTCTAGCAAGATGGTGCACCACCACATTATGGGTGTAAGGTCCGAGCATTCCTAGATGAAAAGTTTTCTAAAAAATTGGATTGGTCGTCGTGGGCCAGTTGAATGGCCTCCAAGGTCTCCTGATCTGACCCCCTTAGATTACTATCTTTGGGGTCATCTGAAGGCAATTGTCTATGGTGTGAAGATACAAGATGTGCAGCACCTGAAACTACGGATACTGGAAGCCTGTGCTGGCATTTCTACAGCGGTATTGCTATCAGTGTGAGAAGAGTGGGAGAAGAGGGTTGCATTGACAATCCAACACAATGGGCAGCAGATTAAACACATTTTTTAAGTGGACATTAACTTGTAAATAACTCATGAAAGAATAAAGATACGTTTAAACCAAGCACACACGTTTTTCTTGTGAAATTCCTAATAAGTTCGATGTGTCAAATGACCCTTTTCCTTTTGAAAAAACAAAAGTTGGATCCAAGTTGGCCAACTTCAAAATGGCCACCATGGTCACGACCCATCTTAAAAAGTTTGCCCCCTCACATATACTAATGTGCAACAAACAGGACGTTAATATCACCAACCATTCCCATTTTATTAAGGTGTATGTATATAAATGGCCCACCTTGTGTATATGTGTATATTTTTATATTTGGTACTAATCATTTTGATGATAATCAGTTTTGGTGTTTGTTTATGTGTTGATATGTAATATTGATGTTATTACCTTTTTCTAATTGCATTTCAAGTAGCAGTCACACTTTTGTATTGGGAAAATATACAAAAAAACTAACTGGGCAGGGAAATACACTACACAAATATATTTTTTTCTAATTACAGCCTGCTATAAAGTACATTATCCAGTTTATTACAGATAAAAATAAATGTGTGCAAAACTTGGTTTCTGAAAAATGTTGTATTTGGACACAACACTGAGTAAATATTGATAGATCTTTCTTTTTTGTGTATTATAAAAAAAAACTTCAAAATGTTCACAGACTTGTTTCTTTAATTGTTTTCAGGACATTATGGCTAGAAATAAGAAGCTGCTAACCAAGGATAATGCTCAACACAAGTGTGAGAACAGCTCTGCTAACCACCACTGCGATAAAAGTCCTCCTGTCTGCATCTCAGATATAATGACTAGTAACACTCGTGACAAGCTGTCACCGCTACAGACCAAACCAACAGATTACAGTCATTCAGAGTCTCAGCCGGTTGCCTCATTGTCTCCTGAGGGTCAGCCCAAAGTGACAGATGCCAGTGCTAACAGCCAGGAAGATGCCTTAATCAGTGTTTCCATCTCAACCAAATATCAGGCCGAGGTAATCAACACAAATGCAATCACTGAGTCCTATGGGAACGCTGATTTCCACAATTCTGAAACTATGGGAACTGTTGCTTTGGATAAACATCGTGGAGATGCAACAGATAAACAGAACAAACATTACACTGCTGTGGAAAACACAATCAGAAACGAATCAGCTCAAGGTCAAAAAGCAGAGGTCAGTGGAGTTTGTAACAGAACAGGGGTCATAAGTGTGTCCACGCAGATGGAGGAGAGTCGAGAGATGCATTTAGCAGTCAAACAGCCGCCCGTCCACGCCTGCACTCAGACAGATGGAGAACAGCTGCAGACGGAGCAAGATGAAGGTGATAAAGCGTCTGTAGACTCACCGGCCCTCTCCCCGACCCCACACACTGTTACAAACCAACTGCTGCTATCCAGCGTGTTCCCTATGAGTGACCCAGCACACCTCGCTGAACGCATCCGGCAAAACCGCAACCGCATGTCTGCTGCTTATGATGAGACCGAATATGAACCATACGGCCTGCCAGAGGTTGTAATGAAAGGTAAGAGAACTATTATAAAGGGGTTGCACACCCCATGCACCATGCAGCGCAGCGCATATGACAATTAGAAGTAACGCACACCGGACACATTCGCATGTTATTTATTATGAAACTATTCAGATGGCGCTCTGTGGCGCAGCAGAAATATGAACAGTGTCCTAAGTCGTAGCTGAGCGCCACTGACTTGTGGTGGGAATTTGCATAATCTGACAGACATCTATGATTACAATTTTAAAATGCATGGCGCTGCGTGGCATGGCGCATCTGGTGTGCGACCTTTTTAAGGTCACATACCTAAATTCTTTAGATGGCAGGGGAGGGACTGTGTTTCAAAGCCACGCCTCCTGAAATTGCAAATGCGCGCACTGCGACACGACAGCAGACAACCCATTAGTTGTCATTCGCCAGTTAGATGTGTATGTTGTGGTTGGCCGGCGGCGTGCAGGAAATATATACCCACAGCCATGTCACCCTGCAGCCCAAGACCGGTTACTCACTGAAGCTAAGCAGGGCTGAGCCTGGTTAGTACCTGGATGGGAGACCGCTAGGGAACACTAGGTTGCTGTTGGAAGTGGTGTTAGTGAGGCCAGCAGGGGGCGCTCAACCTGTGGTCTGTGTGAGTCCTAATGCCCCAGTAAAAGTGAAGGGGACACTACACTGTCAGTGAGCGCCGTCTTTCGGATGAGACGTTAAACCGAGGTCCTCACTCTCTGTGGTCATTAAAAATCCCATGGCACTTCTCGTGAAAGAGCAGGGGTGTAACCCCGGTGTCCTGGCCAAAGTCCCTCTATCGGCCCTTACGATCATGGCCTCCCAATCATCCCCTTCCACCGAATTGGCTCTATCACTGTCTCTCCACTCCACTAATAGCTGGTGTGTGGTAAGTGCACTGGCGCCGTTGTCCTGTGGCAGCCGTCGCATCATCCAAGTGGATGCTGCACACTGGTGGTGGTGTGGAGAGACCCCCCCTCATGATTGTAAAGCGCTTTGGGTGTATGGCCATACACAATAAATGCGCTATATAAATACACATTACATTAAATTACATTACATACTTGATATGTCATAGCGAATATGTAGAGTAGCAGTAAACAATATCGGGAGTGCGTCACAGGCTGTCATTGCTCAAAAATGACCGAATGTAAATATATAACCAACTTCAGCTCAGTGAAGCAGGTTAGGCAGAATAGCGCTATTTACTGATGTTTTGTTGTTGAACTAAATAAAAATCTCCATTATCAATGCGGTAAAAGGCCCTCATGAAACTGAAAATAGTCACATCAATCTTTCAACTGGAGATTTCAGTGGCTGAACAACACGTCTGTCCACATAACCCATTCATAACACAACACACTCCACATCAGCTCTGCGTGAAGCTAAAATAGTTGTAAAACTGAGCATTACCTAACAGAAATACTTCAGCCATGGTGTCATCTTTCCTCCAGCGTGCAAAAGTAACTCCAATATTGATTAAGCAGTTTAAAAAGTTTCAATTCAGCATTTGATTTTGCCGCGACTGTTACTCTCGTGTGCATGTAGACGCGCGACACTCATCTAGGCGTGCACACGCAATGCTCATGCAGACGTGCACAGGCTAATGCCGGATATGCGTGAACAGAGAAGCGCAAAAGCCTAAATCTGCATTTGTTGACAGACAGATTGAGGTACTTATCTGGACAATATTTAATTGGATGAACATTTTTTAGTTTTATGCCTTACCCAGAATATAAAAATACATATGAACACATTTAGATCATTTACTGTAATCATCACTATTAGACTGTGAAGAGACTTTCAACCAGCTCAACAAAAAATGCTTCTTAAGACAATCATCTACTGCACCTTTAAGTTAATTGAATATTGCAGTACCCATTATAAGTGTGTCCTTTAGGATTTTTTTAATAATGTGGCCTAGTAATCTTCAATCAAAAAAACTTCCTTTTCCTCTTCAAGTAAATTTTTGATAACGTGGGGTCAATTGCATATAAATGCATATCCCATGGGTTTTTCACACTGGAGGAACTTTTTATGGTTCCTAAAATTATTGGTAATGATATCTACTGTTTAGCCTGATGCTGTGTTCACACTAGACATGGCACACGCAGATAAATCACGCTATTCGCATGGAAATAGATGCACGAGCAGTTTTACTTCCTTCTTTTGTGCATTAAATTTGTTTAACTCGTGCGTCATATTCACTTCACAATAGACACGGATTTGCGCCATGGGCAGAGCTTCTCTCCGCTCTGTGACTCTAGCTTTGTTACTAAATGGCTAACAAGGATTTTACTGAGAGAGTAACTGTGCTTTGTGCTTTAGAAAGGCTGAAAAACAGCTTAGATGCAGTGTCTGAGTTCACTAGATCCCTTCAGAGGTGAACCCAGCTCTGTGAGACCATCAACTCCTCCAGAAACCTGGATGATAGAGTGATGCTTCAGACTGAGCAGAGCCCAGTTTGATGAGCTGATATCTAGTGTCGGCAAGAGGATTTCCCCTCGGGACACCTACAACAGGCACTACGCCATAATCGCCCCTACAAGAGAAAGTTCAACTTGAACAATTCACCTACCTCATTTATGCGAATCAAGTCATTCACAGGATGTCCAGGGTTCAACAATAATGGACTGCCTGGTGGCCCAGGGCTAGCGTGAGAGACGTTTGGGACAGTAGACAGGATCATTACTGGCCCGATCGGGACAGTGCTGCCTTGTCATTAACATTTAATTTGTCTGCGACAATTTGTAAATTGCGTACATTTTAAGTTTGTGCTTATAAGTCTTTAAACACTACCTTCTCTGTGATGTCGTAATCACCATATTGCTTTCCAGTTCCTCTTATTTGATTTGATGTTTTGACCATCCTATTTTTTTCCGTAACCTGGTGACAACCAGTACAGCGATGAAACAGCAACATGGCGGCAACATCAAATTATAAGGCTAAAAGAAAAGGTCTGTTTCTGACGTCCTGGAAGCAGACATTTACATGTGAACAACGCAACTAAAAAATGAAGTGATGTTTTGCACAGTTTGCCATCAGTTTGATAAGTCAGCCACCTTTTGTTAAATAATTTCGAACCGCAATAAAATACCTCATTTTCCTCTGCTCTTTTTGTTTGCAAAACACTTTTAACATTTGTTAGGTATTGAAATTCTAGAGTCACAGACTTTGTTGACACATTGTTTAAAATATGTGGCTTAAAAAATAGCTTTTAACTTCCTTTTTTTTTTTTTTTTTTTGGTGGGGTCAGTAAAATTTTGGCAGGGCAAGTAAAAATCTGAACCACTGGCCTGATCGGACCAGTAGAAAAACTCCTTAGCGTCTATTCGCGTCTTTGCATTTATTTGGCATGTAAATCACTTGAGCTTAATGCTTGCACCTTCCAGGCGAATCCAGTTGAAAACATCTTCAGAATGCCATGAGCACACTGTGAGTCATGTGACAAGAACTGACCAATTAGCTTCATATTTTGTATGGAATATACACAAATCTCAAACTTCAGTGCTTTGTAATTTTCTCCATAAATAAAACTTGTATCAGATTTGCAGTAATGTTGTGTCAGCTTGTCATCCTCTGAGAAAACGGTTACTTAGCAACCTGCTGGGCATACCTGCTAACACTTCCATTTTTTTTCCCCCGTATTTCGGAATCATCTCCCATATTGTTCTGTCTCCCGGAATTGCCACTGTTTCAAGCTCCCCAAAATCCCTTAATGGTGGTGCTTAAACCAATAATAGTGGTGTGTAGTTGTAGAATTAATAAAAGAGCAGTTATTTCAGTCGACACATTTATTTCTCACCTTTTTATCTCCTAAAAGGATTTGCCGACATCCCCAGTGGGCCAGCCTGTCCGTATGTCCTGCGCAGAGGGCTTCTGGGAACTGACGCAATGCCCCTCCCACGCAGAGGAGAAGCCACGCCCCTGGAGGAAGATGACGACATAGAGCCATAATACACTCCTGATACCTCCTGTGTATGTTTACTGGGCTCTGCAACACTTTTAGAGGAACTTTTAAAGTCATTTCCACTGGTTATTCTAATCGAGTTCAGCTTCAGAGCAGTGCTGTCTGTTCTCAGGTTTCCATGCTGAAGGAATTTCACTGCCTCTTTAATCATAAAGTACCACATGACACTGTCCTATGTTATGTGATGTAGAATTTACAGACACTGAAGTTTCATGATTTTTAATTGTTTTGCTAGTTCTTATTGGCTGAAAGGTTATGCCTTATTGATGTTTTTTTGGGTAGTGAAGCCATTTATAAGTTAGCTTTAAAATTCCGTTGTAATATATTGTTTGCGTAGCATAGAGGTGGTGTTAGCCCCTGTTTTATGACACTTGAATTTTGTGAATAGCCTTATTTATTGACAGACACTTCTTGAAGACTTGCTTTTGTGCACTACTGTGAGAGATTGTGTGTGTGTGTGTGTGTGTGTGTGTGTGTGTGTGTGTGTGTGTGTTATGACTCAGATCAACCTGAGTCTGTTTCCGATCCTTGTATGGCGATTCCCCTGTTTCTTTCTTTCTCTCGCTCTCTCTGTCATCTAACAGCTTTTTAATGCACAGTGGAGTATTTATATCATTGTTCGTTTGTAATGAAGCATTCGAAAAGCCTTCAGGAATGGATACACTTTTGATTTGTTTAATCTGATTCGCTAGTGCTAGTTTGCTGTAATATGCGTTCCTTCTGAATGTCAAATGGATTCTAGGACTTGAAGTTTGGAACGCTCGCATTTATTAAACGTAAATGAAATGCTTATGTTTGTTTATATGGCTTTTTATATACTTCACTTTGTTTGTTTTTGTTGCAGCATTCTGTTAAATATCGCTAATTTATGATATGACTGGTATACCATACAATTGGATATATGATTTCTTACAACACTTCTGTTGTTTTTTATATTTGTATAATTTCATAATGATTTAATGCATTTATTATTTTTTTTTTTTTATGATTCGCTTTCAGGATGATGCAAAATAACTTTGCTTTTACAAATAACTTACAAATTCATGCATAACCACCCTGATGTTATTTTTATTAGTGTTGTTTGTATAATTGTTTTTTTTTTTTTTTTTTTTGTGAAAGCACTTGAACTTACTGGCCACTTTATTAGGTACACCGGTCCAACTATTTGTTAACGCAAATTTCTAATCTGCCAATCATATGGCAGCAACCAAATGCATTTAGGCATGTAGACATGGTCAAGACAATCTGCTGCAGTTCAAACCGAGCATCAGAATGGGGAAGAAAGGGGATTTAAGTGACTTTAAACATGTCATGGTTGTTGGTGCCAGACAGGCTGGTCTGAGTATTTCAGTAACTGCTGACCTACTGGGATTTTCACGCACAACCATCTCTAGGGTCCGACAGTTCTGTGGGCGCAAATGCCTTGTTGATGTCAGAGAATAATGGCCAGACTGGTTCGAACTCATAGAAAGGCAACGGTTACTCAACCACTCGTTACAACCAAGATATGCATATGAGCATCTCTGAACTCGCAGCATGTCCAACCTTGAGGCAGATGGGCTACAGCAGCAGAAGACCACACCGGGTGCCACTCCTGTCGGCTAAGAACACGAAACCGAGGCTACAATTGGCACAGGCTCACCAAAATTGGACAATAGAAGATTGTAAAAACGTCTGGTCTGATACTGGATTTCTGCTGTGACATGAGTATGGTCGGTCAGAATTTGTATCAACAGTTCAGGTTGCTTGTGGTGGTGTAATTGTGTGGGGGATGTGGTGTGTGACCAGTGTCTTCCAGCAGAATAACACTTCATGAACATAACAATGAGTTCACTGTACTCAAATGGCCTCCACAGTCACCAGGTCTCAATCCAATAGAGCACATCTATCAGGATGTGGTGGAACAGGAGATTCACATCATGGATGTGCAGCCAACAAATCTGCAGCAATTGTGATGCCATCATGTAAATATGGCCCAAAATCTCTGAGGAATTTTCCAGTACCTTGTTGAATCTATGCCATGAAGGATTAAGGCAATTCTGAAGGCAAAAGGGGGTCCAACCCGGAACTAGAAAGCAGTACCTAATAAAGTGGCCGGTGAGTGTATTTTTCAATTGGCTTTGTTTCTATACATTTTATTGAATTAGAAACCATGCTTAACCCCATGATTACATTCATTGTATCATATTTTTTTATTGGTTTGTAAGTAGGTATGCGCTGACATTTTTATCAAAAATAATCAGTCAGGATTTTTCAAAACCTGATCCTACAAACATGTTAAACAAATACAGTGAACAACTGTTTTTTATTCACTCATATTAATTCTGAATCTCCCACACCCCATTGTCTGTCCTTTAGCACAATCTCTTTAAAGTAAGTGTGTTGCATGACGTCTTGTCAACCACACAATACAGAAGTGGATCAACCTAAAAAAAAAGATCCATAATGTCAACTAATAATTTGCTAGCAACATTCTCATCTTCAAAGCCTCATTCGTGAGAAATACTTTAATAGGGGGGTCAAAATGGTTGCTAGGGAGTGGCTGCCAGTGATGATATTTAGGCTGCTGGACAGGATGAATTATATAAAGCAGCCTCCATGCCTCTGTTTAGATTTTCCTCTTTGTTTACACATCACTATGGTTGCTCAAAAATGTTTGCTAGGTCATAAGTAGGAAGTTGTAAATGTGATTTGTGATTGGTAGTTCGGCAAATGAGCTCACCCTCAAGAATCCATTTACTGTAATGGGCAGTCCCTTCACCATTCTATGTCAGTTGGGCAACTTTTGCACCACAGGGTTAAATAGGGTATATGCTAGTGCGAGCTAGTGTTTCTTCCCATACTGGTAAACTTCCGGTGAACGGTTAATGTGACTTTTTTTTTCATTTTATACGGCTCCTTTTACAGCATCGATGTTGTAATGTAATTAAAATACAACCAGTTAAAAAGACTTTGCATTCATTTAGCTGCTTAAGCGTAAAACGAGACAAAAAGCCGTTTACTCGCACATGCCTGTTCGACTCAGCAGGCTAGCACAGAAGCTCCATAGAGTATACTGGGGTGAAATAAAGTTCATATTTTTTAAAGACATGGTGGGGAAAATTTTATTTAATGCAGTGCTTCTTGTACAATCTGAGACCCACTTTTTTATCAGATATCACTGAGCCAGTGGAGATCGCTGATTTTAAAGAAAACATCATAAATGCGCCGATTTTGCATTAGTATACAGTTAGGAAATGCTTAACTCGGGTTACTGACAAATTAAAAGTCCTTAAGCATACTTCTGCGTATACCCTATTGTTTAGCGATATTATCTTTTAATATTCATTGCAAGGCATAACCATTAACCCTTATTTTTTTATCGACTATGAAGTCAGACTTTCAGCTTTCTTCAAAATATCTTCTTTTGTGTTGAACAGAATAAAGGGTAACACTTCACCATAACAGTACATAAATAAAGCTGTGCTAAATGTAACTTTACTTCATTATGAATTAATGATGAGTTAAGGCATGTACTAAAAGATGGAAAGAAAATTGGCACACTGTCACTTTAGCTTTCAAAAAGTCCTTTAATATCAGGTCAAAACAAATTCTGAGCTTAGTCTAGTTTCAAATTCTTCATTTTCCATCATCTCACAGTTCTTTTTTTTTGTAATGAAAATTTAAAAACTTCTCAATTCTGAGAAAAGTCAAAACTGATTTCTCTTAATACCAAATCTCTCATAATTATGACATTTTTAAAGCATATATTAAAAGTATATAAATAAAATCTGAATTTTATGGGGGGTAAAAAGTCACAATTGCCTTTTATTTGTTAAGTTATGCCATATTTTGCCAATCTGGGGGGACATTCTTTTGCAATAAGTATTATATTCTAGTTACAGTGCATCTGGAAAGCATTTATAGAGCTTAACTATTCCCACATTTTTTATGTTACAGATTTATTCCTAAAATGGATTAAATTGATTTATTTCCCCAAAATTCTACACACAATACCCCATAATGACAATGTGAAAAGATTTTTATTCAAATTTATTAAAACTAACAAACCTGAAATATCACATGTACACCAGTATTCTCAGCCTTTGCTGTAAAGCTCTAAATTGAGCTCAGGTACATTCTGCTTCCACTGATCATTCTTGAGATGTTTCAGCGGCTTAATTGTTCAACTGTGGTCAATTCAGTTGATTGGACATGATTTGAAAAGGCATACACCTGTCTATATAAAGTCCCAGGGTTGACAGTGCATGTCAAAGCTTAAACCAAGCATGAAGACAAAGGAAATTGTCTGTAGACCTCAGAGACAGTATTGTCATGAGGCACAAGGCTGGGGAAGGTTACAGAACGATTTCTGCTGCTCGGAAAGTTCCAATGACCACAGTGGCCTCCATCATCCCTGAGTGGAAGATGTTTGAACCACCAGGACTACTCCTAGAGCTGGCCGGCCATCTGATCGGGGTAGAAGGGCCCGAAAGTCAGGAAGGTGATCAATGATGGTGATTCTGTCTGAGCTCCAGTGTTCTTCTGTGGAGAGAGGAGAACCTTACAGAAGGACAACCATCTGTGCAGCAATCCACCAATCAGGCCTGTATGGTAGAGTGGCCAGAAGGAAGCCATTCCCTGCCTGGAATTTGCCAAAAGGCATCTGAAGGACTCTCAGACCATAAGAAACAAAATTCTCTGGTCTGATGATACTAAAATTTAACTCTTTGGAGTGAATGCCAGGTGGTACGTTTGGAGAAAACCAGACACCGCTCATCACCAGGCTAATACCATCCCTACAGTGAAGCATGGTGGTGGCAGCATCATGCTGTGGGGATGTTTTTCAACAGCAAGAACTGGAAGACTAGTCAGGATAGAGGGAAAGATGAACGCAGCAATGTACAGAGACATCCTGAATGAAAACCTGCTTTAGAGTGCTCTCGACCTCAGACTGGGGTGACGGTTCTTCTTCTAGCAGGACAATGACCCAAAGCACACCACCAAAATATTAATGGAGTGGCTTCACAACTACTCCTTGAGTGGCCCAGCCAGAGCCCAGACCTAAATCCCATTGAACATCTCTGGAGAGATCTAAAAATGGCTGTACACCATCGCTTCCCATCCAACCTGACAGAGCTTGAGAGGTACTGCAAAGAGGAATGGGCAACAATTCCCAAAGACAGTTGCGCCATGCTTGTGTCATCATATTCAAAAAGACTTGAGGCTGTAAATGCTGCCAAAGGCGCATCAACAATGTATTGAGCAAAGGCTCTGAATACTTATGTACATGTAATTTCTCAGATTTTTTTATTTTTAATAAATGTGCAACAAATTAAAAAAATCTTTTTTCACATTGTCATTGTTGAATTTCGAGGAAATAAATGAATTTAACCCATTTTGGAATAAGGCTGTAACATAAAAAAAAATATATATATATATATATATATAAATAGAAAAAGTGAAGCACTATGAATGCTTTCCGGATGCACTGTAATAAGGCCCATGAATACGTGGTTTACTATAAATCTGTAATAACAAAGAGAGATTAAGCAGTCAGATGCACGTCACAATTATAGATACACAGGGATAATCCAGCCTTATCTCACCATAGATATATACACTAGATATAGCATAGGGACCCTGAGCATGCGTCAATAGCACCGCCATATTTGTACAGTGCTCCCAGGACATGTGTCATTCAACCTCACTAGCCAAGACAGTGTTACTACGTGAAATTGCAGGACTTTAGCGCGGTCTACGGGTGTATTAACGAGCAATCAAAGAAAACAAAGCACAGAGGCAGAACATTA